GGGGCCAGCCAAGGGCAGAAATAAGGCACATGACATCAGTATTGGGTTGAAATGAGTACATTTGTCAGCTTTATTTTAGTGGCAGTTGTCTAGTAAAACAACAACAACAACTCAGAGATTCAAATGAGCCCAGAACAGGGATGATTATTAATTAATAGTTTCATTTATTAGGTAATGCAGAGCAGGGTGTGTTTGTGTGAATGGGAAGGGGAAAGAGGAAATGGAAACACCTCCCCCCCCCATTGTAGGATAGAGCTATATGCTGTTGGGGATGGGTTTGGTTATTATCTGGAAGGTTTGTATACATTATAAAATAAAGCCAAACCATTGTGAAGCTATCCTTTTGTTTCTGTTCCCTCAACAATCATAAATTATTAGTTAGTCGTCCCTCCCCCCAAGTAGGACGGTGTCCCATACACTTTTGTACCAATTGCCTGAGTTCACCCCAAGAGGTCACTTCAATGTCTAGCTATAATATTCCTAGCTGCTGATAACAGATGACTAAAAAGTTCTTTATCATGCAGTTTTGTGTTATTACCTCAAAATATATTTAATAACGCTATTTCTGGTGTCACATCTATTTGCTACCTTATAATTTTACTAATCTCGTGTAATACTGACAGCCAGAACAGCTGAATTTGGGCACATTCCCACAATATATGGGAATATCTGTGAATATATGTACCTAAAGATCAACAGCCTCGCCTACATCTCGGTGAAGCTCCTTGGTACATCAGCGCTAGTTTTCTTGCCACTAAATACAATCTATAGATGGGTTTTAGTGCGAGCCCCCTTTTGCTGGCAGAAACCAAATTAAACAGTGATTTAGACCACATTTCGGACCACTGGGCTGAAGCTATTTCTTGACCTAAATCTAGTTCCCCCATTGTTATTTAATTGTGCTGGGGGACCCTACAGTGTCTTGGAATAATATTTTATAGATTGCAGACACCTATTCTTTACTTCTACCTATTCTGTTGTGGCTGGGAGAAGTTTCTCAAAAGGCACTAGTTGTTGTGTGGCTGTTGTTTTTACCATTGGGTTGGATAGAAAAGCTTGCAATTGGTAGCAGAGTAGCCCCAACATTTGAATGTCTTCCATTTTAGTTTGCATTCTTCTCCCATTAGTGGGGTATTGCCCGCTTAAAAGTCCATTAAGCAGTAAAGACCCCTGGCTTTCCATCTTGTCACAGAAAAATTGCCGAGAAGAGCTTTCTCCTTCCATGCGTTAAACATAGTTTGCATGAATCTAATGGTGCTTCGGCAGCACATATACTAAAGTTGGAATGATACAGAGATTTTCCCATTCTAAACTATTTTTTATTTGCAGTAGCCAGGATACCTTTCTCCCTCATGGTTAATTTCTCTGCTTCCTACTTTGGACTGCTTTAATTGTGTGGGGTTCTTTGGGGGGGGGGAGGTTGGACATCACTGGTCACAGAATATCTGAGAGGTGGATTTGTGAGCCACATTTTGTGAAATATACTCGGTCCTGCAGTGATTTCATTCTCTTTATTGTAGCTTGTAAAACAGTGACTAAATTCTACCCCCCACAAAAAAACCCTCAGGCTTTTATATACATTATTTACACACTGAGTCTGGTCCAATTGGCTGATTCTGCTTCCCTCCTGGAGCCTGATTGGTCTTCTCCTGCAAGCCAATCAGTTGTTGCATTCTAGGATCCTACCTGCCTATTGTTCTAGGATCCAAGCTTAGATAACATTTTGTTATGGAATAAGCAGGTGCAAAAAATTTAAAAAATGCTTACTTGTTTCATAAAATGTGCGATGCTATTATCCTGATGGAGGTGGGGGTGGTTCTATTGATAGAGAAGAAGGTTGTCCAAATAAATGAAAAAGAAGATTCTTAATGTTATTCAGTAAAGGCCACTGGATACAATTCAATAGAAAAATACAATTCAGCTTTTACAATCTTGTTCATTCAAGTAGTAGAGCTTTAAGCATGTGCTTCAGTCTCTCGATTAAAAGAAAGTGTGGCTCATTGAAATATGCCTTACTCTGCATGGACCATGGCCACAATCTGATGGGATTGCTCAGTCAGTAGAGCATGAGATTCAGGGTCATGGGTTTGAGCCTCACATTGGGCAAAAGATTCCTGTTCTGCATTGCAGGGAGTTGGACTAGATGACCCCTTCCAACTCTCCAATCCTATGATTCTATGAACAATTTGGAAAGATCTGACTTTAGTTAGACCCCAAATCCATAACTTTGGTCCTTCCCTTTCCTTTAATTAGGAAGCCAATAAAAAGTCATACCTCATGTTGTGTCCGTTTCAGGATACGTGTTTATGTGTTGCGTCCCGTGGCAATCTGGAAGTACCGGAACGGGTTACTTCTGAGTTTTAACGCTCGCGCATGCGCAGAAGTGCTAAATTGCACCATGTACATGTGCAGATGTGGCACTTCGGCTTGCGTCAGTTCCGTGTTACGGGCGGGCCTTCGGAACAGATCCCATCTGTAACACAAGCTTCCACTGCACTTTGGTTTTTCACATAGGTGCCTGAATTTTGGCGACACGGTAGCAGCTCAAGAGGTAACTAACCATGCAAACTGTCAGCAGTTAGATCAAAAGGGTTTTTGTGCTATCCATCTTTGAAATCCCCCAAATAAAACAAAGCAAATTCAAAGGTAAAAAGGACATCACTTTCTTGTTTTTAAGGTAAGTGTATACAACTTGGAGGCATGGTAGCCCCTCGAGGGGATTAAATAGATGGTATCTTGTGTTTTTGTGACATTTTAGCTATATGGCTCTTACAGATCGTTCTGAGGCCCAAATCAATTTGGGTCATTCCATTTCAGTACCAGCTGCCTCAATCTGATTCAGAATCAGTCCAGTTTGGAATTCAGCCAAATCGGCTGTTCAACTATACTGTAAAAAAGAATGTATATCCACATTCTAAACAGATCGTGTAGGTGCTATGGAATGGTAACAGATGCTGTGGCAATCTGTCAACTGCGGGGTTTTTATGCAGGATTTTTTTGCCATTATTTGATTAGACCAAGCCTACCTTATGTCCAACGTACTTTCTGCTGGGGGGAATTTGTGGCTGAATGTGCAAACACTTGCACAAGGTACACACAGGAGAAAACCAAAGGGCTAAGCATTCAATTGAGTCAGGATATCTATCAACACGACACAAGCTCTCAGTGGGATGTACATTTCTTAAGAGCTAAAGGAGCCACTTCCCCTTCCTCTTCAGGGGCAGAGAAGAAGGATGTCAGTTTTGTTATTTTTCAGGCGGGGAACTATCTTGAGCTCTTCTCTGTTTTCCTTTTCAGTTTTAAAAAGTGCAGTCTCAATATTTGGGGTGGGGGTGAGAAGAGAATACGAGGTAGAGAAAGAGCCATCCTCAGGACAGCTGGCTGTTAGCTGCCACCATCCCAGTGCCTTCTGGGAGGATAACAATGGTGTCCTCTTATTTTAAAGAGCTGCTTTCTCTCTTACTGAATGATGATAAGTGTGCTTTTAAATCTGTAAAACAGAAAAAATAGTAAAAGGTAAGAGATGGGCATTCCACATCATTTGAGGTCAGTTGACACCTCTACACCTAGAAGAACCCTCCCATTTTATTTTGACCAAGTAAGCTACCCAAAAACGCAAAAATTCAAGTCCATGCGTTTCAAGTCAAGCCTGTTCATCTTTTCTTTAATGATGATGTGCAACACTTTGCACAAGTAGTTCAGTTTGTCACTTGAAGAACACAAGAGTGCCTTTGTTCACAGTGCCTAATTGAAATGTTTTGGGCCTAAAAAGTTATATTGATGTGTGCTTATATGCTTTCTTTCTTTGGGCTCCTGGAGTTGGATTGGGTGACATCTTGGCAAATCCTAACATGCAACCTAAACAAGCAAAGCAGCCTGTTGCTGGCATCTTTTAGGGTAGTCTATGCATGGGACACGGGTGGCGCTGTGGGTTAAACCACAGAGCCTAGGACTTGCCGATCAGAAGGTCGGCGGTTCGAATCCTCACGACGGGGTGAGCTCCTGTTGCTTGGTCCCTGCTCCTGCCCACCTAGCAGTTTGAAAGCATGTCAAAGTGTAAGTAGATAAATAGGTACCGCTCCTACGGGAAGGTAAACGGTGTTTCCGTGTGCTGCTCTGGTTCGCCAGAAGCGGCTTAGTCATGCTGGCCACATGACCCGGAAGCTGTACACCGGCTCCCTTGGCCAATAAAGCGAGATGAGCGCCGCAACCCCAGAGTCGTCCGTGACTGGACCCAACAGTCAGGGGTCCCTTTACCTTTACCCATGAGAGCTTGTACGTCCAGGTGTATTTCTTCTCCCTTTCACAAATTGTGGGTGTGCTTAAGGCAAGGGCAACAAAAAGGAATGGAAACTGGGACACCATCTGAGGTTGCTTCGAGGTGACCAGTTTATTGAGCATTTGTTCTCATTTAGTTGTGGGGAGGTTATATGATGCTTTGCCAAGCGGCTATTACTCTCTCACACTTTCTAGTGTATTTATTTTCCCATCACCTACTTTCCCCACAAAAAGTCCATTAAGGATGAGCGGATTTTTGTGCAAGACTGCAAATTCCATTTTAATTGTGCAGCCTTAATCTGTCAGAATGTGTTTGAGTTCCACTCACAAAATAGTGGCAGTCTGGAAGTGTCCAGAAACATGGCATATCCTCTGAATAATTCACAATGCACATGACGTTTCCAAGAAGTGCAGGAATTGTAAATAAGAGAAGTAAGGATAGTGAAAATATTCCACAGATTTTGTGCCCAAAGATACAAGGAGGCAAATAACACTTCATAGAAATAGACGTATTTCTTCAGACATATAAAGGCACATCACTTTGAGTAGGAAACTCTGATGTCAGTATGGCCCTACATTTACACAAGTACCTTCTTTTAAACTTGGTTAGTAGAAATTCTTCAATTTCAAGTGAATAAAATAAGACTATAAGAACAGTACAGTGCTACACAGTAATCTGGAAATCTAAAATTAAATATTTAATTAGAACTTTGAATTTGCTTTCAAGATAGGTGGCATTGCACAGGCTATATTACAGTCTTTTATACTTCTTTTGCCAAAAAAATTACTGTATATTTTAAACAGGCCACTTTAATATTAATACAAGTGTAATAGGTTCAGAACTGAAAATTCAGCTAAAGATGGTGCATTTTACAGTATTGGGAAAAAATTACAGGATTTTTTTTTCTCCTTTTGTATTGTAAAAACATTTTTTTAACAATTTACCTACATTAATCAAAAAGTACAGCATATTTAATAATTTTACAAATTTTTCATAAAAAATATATCTCTGTACAAAAAAGTTCTTTTGCACCTACTTCATGTCACAGCAGCATGTCGTGAAATGGCAAAATGGAGTACTGGGAATGAAAATTAGATTGATTTGATCATAATGCCAGCTTTCCCCCCCTCCCCCCTTCTTTAATAACAGTTTTTTTTTGTTTTGTTTACAAAATATATTACAGAAGAAAAAAATTATTGCAGCTAGCCTGGAGAAAGGCAAGATGGGTGATACAAGCAGCAGATTTAAACAGCTTTGAAGCACATAACCTGTTTTTGATTGTTCTTTCTTTGAGTATGTTTACCTTTGCTTTATCATAATCATTCTGCTCCTTTCTGGGGAAAGAGTCAACAGTAAACACATCACAGAGATTTCATACTGCCTTTGGCATGACCGTACTACGACAGACCTCAATTTTACTATTCAAGTCACTCTGCAATTCAGGCTCTACTCAAGTGAATGGACTTTGGAGGTGGCACTTTGAAGATCTGGGCTGTTGGGGTGGTGAACCTGATGCATGTCTGGGCAAGCATGGAGCCTGAAAAGGAGTGTTAGAAATGGAAGATTTAACCTGGTCAGTGTGCAATCCAACGCAACTGTAACAAAACCAAAGGGAACAGAAAACCTTCGAGAGATAGGCACAGAGGTGACAAAGGGGGGAAAACACACACACACACACACACACACACACACACACGAGCCATGGACCTATTTTATTAGGTAGGGCCGTATCTCCAGATATGCTGTGTGGGTACAAACCAATGTTCTGTTCTGTAGTTTCACTGAAATGAGTGACACCGCAGATGAGAAGTTCAGTAACAACTGAAGATTGGAGCATATCAGAGAGAAATGGTTGTTTTGCCTCTGTCAAGTAAAAAAAAATATGTTGATGGTTTATTATTCTAACGTGAACAGCCTTATTTCTTGTTTAATTATACTTCCCTAGAATAAATCAAGTTAGGATTTTCAGATTCTAAAGAATGAAAAGTTGAAAAGCGTGCTCTAATGAATTCTTCTGGCACATCCATGGAGCTCCTTTGTCTGAAAAGCTCCCTCAGTTCATTGCAGTGAATGGAGCCAACCCATGCACAAACTTGCTTTCTCATGTGCAGCCCAGTCCATTGAAATGAACCAGCTCCTCACCCTGCAGTATACAAGAGATCCATGTGTGCATATAAGTACACTTGGATCTCCCAATCAGGACATAGGGTGGTAACACTATTTTACAAAACTTTCCTTCTTCTTACTCTTCATCCAGACAGGGTATGAATTGGGCGGAGGGGGGGGGGGAGAACCCAAACCCATTCTCCCTTCATATTTTGTATTCTCTCCCGCCCCGCCCCCATGACTTTGGTTACATCTGCTATCACTAATATTGAAATAAAGTGACTTCAGTGTTTCCCTTTCTCCAGTATACAACAGTGCAATCTACACTGGAAGCAATGCTTCTTTATGAAAGGGGCGCTATTTTGTTCTGATCACTGTTGTCCTTCCAGAGAATGCCCAAATCTGTCAGATGTCATATAAAATTGTAAATGCACGTGGGATAATAAAAAAGTAATCTGCCCCTAAAGCAAAGCACAAATGTCCAGACAGTGCCAAGGTTTCTAATATTAAACATTTTTTTCTTTAAAAACAGATGAAGAGGCTAAACTTATTGGCATTGCTGGTATCTTCCATCAAAAATCATGTAAGTTTTTCTACTTTGATCAAAGATTGCCCTGCAGACTCTTTCTTGCTATTTAACATAACCTGATATATATTCTTTTCTGCTAATGCTTATTTTTGGTGATTGGTTTAGTTTGGTGTCGGGGTTCGTAATGGACTGGATCCAAAGAGCTACTTGAGTTGCCCAAGGGCTTGAATGTGCCCAGTGGAATTCCTGCCTCCCCCCACTTTGAACAAGGAATAAAAATTGCCCCTGCCGTATGACAACCTGCTTTTGAAAGCCTCGTCAAAAGTGGTTTGACATATGACTTTCTGGGGGTAATGTTTGGGAAACACAACTCCAAAGATCCTTTCGGTGTGTGGAACCAGTAGTGCAGGTTTTTGGAACCTGGCCTGTGTACTTGATGTGAAGGTGTCAGAATATTAATATAAATCATTCTGTTTGTTTTTAAATGTCAGCTGGCAAATCATTGGCGATGTACAATGGTGTTTGTCCCTCTGTCGGAAACCAATAGAAATACAGTATAAAACTGAATATAATTTTTGAAAGGTAACATAGTTGGTTTGATTAAATTAGTGTGGGTGCGGCCAACATTTTTGGAAAGTTCTGACATAAAGGAAGGTCAAAGTATGTACTGGTGCCACTCTTGCTCCCTTGTTTCTGGTTTTCACCCTAGCCTACTGAGCTGAGGAGTAGGCAGCAACAGAGGTCTAATCATGCCACAGCTGTCCCCATTGTTTCTTTATCCTTCTCTCTGTGCCACCCATGAGTTAGTACTATAGGTAAAAGACTTGGGTGAATCAGCAACCTGTCAGTTAATTTTGCCATGTCCCCATTTTTCTTTTGAGAAGCTAGCGGCAACCCTTGCTACAGTAACTTTGAGGAGTTTTTCCAGGTACATCTCAAACTTGCTCTGTCAAGCTGTGTGATTACAAAAGCATCAAGCAGTATTGGTTAAAAATGTAGCCAACAAAGACATTCACACACTCACACACATACAGACACCCCATTGGAAAGCGTAGTGGTTGCAGTGGCGGCTTGCGTGTTGGATGTGGCTTGAGTTTCACATACTCCCTTGCAATGCATTTGTAAGTTCTATGTAACATTAGAAAACAATGTAGTTCCACGTGGAAAAGAAAGATGGCAAACAAATGCAAAAGGGAAGACTGTATTGTGAGCACGGGCCCACAGGCTTTATGAACTATCTAAAATAAATTACTATTCACATTTTGTACATGACAAGCAGCAGTAGCTGCCTGACTCCCCTGCTGTTACAGAGTATGATGCTGAGGAAAAAAAGAATGAATGGAGAGAGAAAACAGAAACAAGGCTGGGAATGAAGATTTGTAAACATGGGCTTCCCACCCCCACCACCCCCAAATCTGGCTGGGTTGTACTGGAGTTTACATGGAAAATGAACCAAAATATAGTCTCTTCATAGTCACAAGTCACTCTGCCAGGAATAGGGGAAGGAGTCATTGTATAACATACGTGCTGGGTAAAATTATTATGGAATGCGTCACAGGACACACAAAAAAAGATGAGTAAATGCTTATATACAATGGATAGTGTGTATAAACCCTGTATATTTTGTTTTTGTTTTTAACCAGTATCATACTCAGTCATTCATACCACACTAGTGCAAAAAATTGTGCATTAACATTTTGCAATACAACAGCTGACTGGGAAGTTTGTAGACTGCCTTATGTATGAATATCTGAGATATACTGTAGGGTTGTTCTAACAGTTGACAAGATTTCAATGGTAAAGCATTTTGTAGATGTGTGCAGCCCCCGAGGAAGGTTGTCTTGTCTTCTCCTTCAAGAAAGCTTCTTTTTGTTGTTGTTGTTTAAATCTCCTCCTGAATGTTCTTATTTCTGGGGATAATTTATGGTGCTATTTTTTGTCACAGTTCCCAACGGAGTGATCCGAGTGCCCAGAAGATTGCATTGAAAGGCATCCAGCCACTTACAAATGTGAAAGTCTGAGGCATTTAAATATGACAGATGGATATGACTTGGCAGTCTTCCTTCAAAGTGTGCCTTGATTTTGGAGCAAATGCAGCCAGGTATTTCAAATCCACCTTTGAGATGAAGAAATTATCTTGGTCTTGATTCCCCAGAAGACTTGACGTTTCACCAGAAAGCCTTGCTGCGTCTATGCCGGTAGATGTTAAAAGATTACAGCAGCGAAGCCTAGAGAAGGGAAACTGGTATATGGCACCAAAGGAATTACTGCTTGTCCATCAGAGGTATGGCTATGAATCAGTCAAACTGGGCACTGAAGGCTATACCACTGTACAAACTGTGTTCAGAGTTGTGTCAAACCTCACAGCTTTTGCCTCTGTGGGTTTTAAGTTTGTATCATACATAGGATTTTCAAATGACGCTTGTCCATTGCTGTTTTCATGTCCAGCATAACCATTGTACTGCACTTTTGGTCTTGTTCTGGAGTGGGGAGGGAAGAGGAGGATAAAAATCAGAGCCTCAGCCATTGCAAATAACATGGTACAACTAAAGCAATTTACAAAGATTCCTGACGTCTAAACGCTATTAAGCTCCCAGAAGTGCATGCTGCTTAAAATGGTTGGCAGCTTGCTTCACTAGTAAGCCCAGGGAACACGGAGTTATCAATTATCAAAGCATAAAATAAAGTAAAAGCTGTAGACCTGTTTCACATGTATCCAAATTGCATGAGAGTGGCTTCCCACATCACTAGGCTCTGTTTTAGGCCAGTTCTATGGGTCTGTTTTCACCGGAAAACAGGTACTCTTTCTCCCACGAAGGAAAGAACAGCTTTGGACCTGGTACTTGTGTACCTGAAGGACATGAGGTTGTTTAAAACACTGCAGTAGCCGTGAGTAGGGTTGGAGAAGAAATATGTCCATATTTTAAAGCAAACCCCCTAATCTGCCTTTGCCAGATTAAATGTAAACTGAGACACTACTTGCAGGACAAGGCATCAGACTTCCCATACCCCAACCCATATAAATAAGAGACCAATCAGACTGGGGTTTGGGTAAAAACAGGTCACAACTTTATTGAATACAGATGGCTTGGGCATTGGGCGATCTAAATACTTCTGGCCTGCCTGGAAGTTGTCAATCCAGGCAGGAGTTCTTAAGACTTACATCAAATGAGGCTTGCTAGAGCCAAAGGCAAAAGGCAAAAGCCTAGTGCAGCAGAGAGCAAAACGGAGCTCCCACAGCAACACAGCAAACTTTGGTCCTGATCCTACAAAGAAGCAGGAAAACCCGGCACAGGAACAAACAGGCTGTGCCCCAGGTGTGGGCTGCTTCAATGGGCAGGGAGCGGATCCGAGGGAAGCCCATTGTTGATTCCATTGGCTCTGCCCCTGGCTCTGCCCACGTCTAGCCTGCATCCCCATTTGCCAATGCAGGGTGTAGGGTATCTAGCTCCTGATAGGCGGTGGGGGCATAGGCCCCTGCCGCCTATCAAGAAGGGCACTGCCATTTGAATTCCACCGTTGGGGGCCCTGTGAAGCCTCTTCTGTCCAGCAACGCCGACACACCAAGAGAGGTGAGCAGACTAGTCAAATCACCTTACACACTTCAAATTATGCAAGACAGTTTTGGCTGCATAATCTGTTTAGATTGTATTTTTTTTTTCATCTGTTCTGTTGAATTTCTTAAGATATTGCTTTAATATCATAATATTTAGATATTAACTGTTTTGATACTTTTATCTAATTGTAGTTTTATTGTTTCTATCTTTTTATTATCTGCAGTTGCTATACTCTTTACTGGACAGTGGCATAGGAGTAATCTGAAGATGGAATGGAAGACCAGGGGATTGCTTCCTTCGTACAGACTCGCTAGTGGCATAAGGTAGCACTATAGGGAACTAACTACCATGTCTCAACCGGTGTGTGTAAGAGAGAGAAGGGGGGAGGGGGAGAGGAAGAGACAGGGACCAAAGAGAAACAAGATGAAGCATGTACAGTAGATCCTCGGGTTACGGTACTTTCAAGTAATGTAAACTTTGGGTTGCGAAAGCAGCAAACCTGGAATTATTTTTCTGGGTTTCGCCGCTCGCACATGTGCAGAAGCGCTCTGCGCGCATGTGCTCTATCAGGCCATGTGCGTGCGCAGAAGCAGTGCCTCTGGATACAGATTTTTCAGGGTGTGCACGGACCCCCAGAATGAATTAAATTTGTATCCAGAGGGTCCACTGTAATTTGGCATTCTCCACTATTACAAAGGTGCAATAGGTAGTTTTTTTCTCTTGGAAAGTGTTGTCACCAACTTCACAATTTATGTATCTTGTTTCTTGTGAAGAAAACATGCAAAAACCATGGCAGGGAAAAGATGAAAGCTCATTATCACTTAATTCATAACATTTCCTACTAGTAATAGAGGAGTGAAAAAAATCTATTCCTTTTACTGCAGTCTGCTATTCAGTCTGCTAAACTGTAGGGCAAAAATACCTTCATTTCTCTGCTAGATTTAATCATTAATCCCAACTTTAAGTGAAATAAACACTTCAAGCAATGTAGTAGTAGATGCTGCCAAAAGTGGAATGGAACAGATGGGAATTGCTTCCTGGTAGGTTCTGAATGTTTTTTTTCGAGTTCTTAAAAGCCTGCTTAATGGCAAGAAATGCCTTCAAATCATTTCCCCTTTTGGTCATTTTAAAAAATTGGTTTCAATAGCCAAAAATAGCTGCAATGTTTCTGAATTTTAGCAGCAGGGTTTACTGTCATTCCTTTCATTAATATAATGAAAATAATTTCAAAGTTTCTTGAGACTGTAGTGGGCTGACTGGGGGAAATGGGTTGCAATCCTGTGGTCAGAACTGCAATCAAATAGTTCTAGAGTGGCCATGGGGGCAGATGAAGACATGGAGCTCTGCACAAGAAGAGGATTCCCTGTTTATTTGAGCAACTGCCCAGGGCCAAGATTCAGACTGGCAGGAGTGACTGCTCCATTCATACTTTGCTTTTCAGTTTCTCCATTCCAGGAGCAGCTCCTCACAATTCTCCCAAAGCCCCTTCCCATCAGGTGGCACCTGACAAGGTGTAAGGGACTGAAACTGGAAGGTTTGCCCCTGCCCCCTAGTAGTTCTAGAACTCTTGGGTAGTTCTAGAATTCTTGGGTAGTTCTAGAACTCATCCCATTAGGGCCATAAACTATACATTTCCTTTTAGAGGGGATTAGGAAAGCCCTCCTTGTATGAAGCTGTGTGTACATAGTATTTTACCACAGTCTCGCGCTTCAGTAACTGCTCCACATGACTGCTGCGGTCAATCTATAAATCTTTAGTAAGAACATGTTTTAATCTGTTATACAGTGGTACCTCAGGTTTAGAACTTAATTCGTTCTGGAGGTCCATTCTTAACCTGAAATTGTTCTTAAACTGAGGTACCACTTTAGCTAATGGGGCCTCCCGCTGCCGCCGCATGATTTCTTTTCTCATCTTGAAGCAAAGTTCTTAACCCGAGGTACTATTTCTGGGTTAGCCCAGTCTGTAACCTGAAGTGTCTGTAACCCAAGGTACCACTGTATTCATAGGTGTTTTTTTAAAAAAAAATCATTTCAGATGCCCAGATATGTACTGAAAAAACTTGATCATGAAGAGGTATGTAAAGTTTTTTGTTTTTTTTAAATGCCCTACTGTAGTTGGGCAAAATTGAAAAATATTGTTCTGAATTCCTATTAAAGCTATGTAGGCAACACCCTGTTTACAAGCTTTCAGTAATTGTATACACACTGTGTATGTCACAGAAAGGGACAGAATTCACAGGCTTTTTCAATAATATTTCATATATATGCAATTTCACTGATGCACGTGGTGTCTCAGAACGTAACCCCCATGTAAATGGGGGGTGGCGTTTGCCCATATTAGACAGTACTGTGAATAATAGACAAATGTAAGCAAAATGGAAACATTTTATTTTTAGAGGTGAGCCAAAACAAACTAGTAGCTGTTTAATGCTCTGTATCAGACAACACACAACAATAGAGAAATATTTGATTTCAAAACTATTTGCTTTTGTTCAATTACTCAAATTTCAACAAAACGTATGCTGAGCTGAAAGGAAGGGATTAAAACAGTAGTGATATATAAGACTCTTCTACCCTAAATTTAGTATTAATTTTTTATGAATGTAATTATATAATTAAATAGAACCTAAAATATAATTCCTCAAAAAACACTCATTTTATTTGAAGTTAGAAGATTGAACTGAATTAATATAGATATTCCATCAAAGTAAATGCTATGACAAAAAAAGAGAATTTTTTTAACCTTTTTTTAAAAAAAAATAGAAACAGCCCCTCTGAGATAAATGGAACTTACTCCCCCCAGGTAAGCCTATAGAAGACTATATCCTAGCTGTGTTTGTGTTGTCCTATAGGGTTGTTTACCAAGGAAAGGATTCAACTAATTCATTCTGTCAGAGAAAGCCCTGCATAAGGACTTTCATGAGTGCAATGGGTCCTTTTGGGGGGGGGGTGAAGAAAGCCCCTGGAACAGCACCCAGGGGTGGGGAGAGAAGGGATGTTGCAATAGCATGATGTTGACTTTCTTTCTGTCTGGCCATTTGACTAAGAAGGGCTGGTGTCATTTATACCCAGTGTTTTTTCCAGACCGAAAGGTGATGGAACACGCCTCCCTCAAAAGATCCACTCCAGAACCCACAGAGGATATATTTGGGGTAGGGGGTCTCCTTGTGAGCCAGAGGAAGCCTACCTCTGTCAGCCTGCCCTCCCCACCCATGTGTGCAAAGGTGGTGGCGGCGGCGGCAGCCCAACAGGGGGGCTACAGAGACAGCTTCCTCATGTGACAACCCAACGCTGCAGCTCCACTTCCGGGTCAAGCCTGACCTGGGGATGGAGAGCAAGAGTAGAGTCGGCAGCAGCTTCCCTGCCTGGACCGTGGCGTTTTCGTGTCCCCTGTGCTGCTTTACAAGGCAAGCTGCAGCAGGCTCCCTCTGCCCCAGGCAGCGATAGCATACATTCTGCCACCAGGTGGGCAGGCTGCCTCTTCCTCATGGAAGAAAGAAGCGGGTGGCTTTGTTAAATTGTTGGCGCAGTGGTGGTGGGTTCCCGTGTGGCAGCTGGGAGGCCCTGTTGTGTCCCTGGCTCGCAAGGAGACCATCTCTAGAGCTAATAGAGGATGTTCCCTTCAGAGAGGGTCTTCTCAAGAGCTGGAGGTTTAGTAGGCCTTTGCTGAGTCTGGTTAAGTCTCTCCCCTCATTTCCAGGGCCCAGCTGAGACGTGCTGGAATGCCATTCTAGTGAGTTCCAGCTGAAAAGAAGCGTTGTGTGTATAAATTTGCACACCCGATACTTAAGGCCCCAGAGGTTTGTGGAGAATGCAGGTGTGGCTAGCAGAAACTAAATGTGCATGGTTTTTCTAAGCTAAAAAGTCTTAGCCTCTGAGCTGGGACTATAGCTTAAAGTGTAGTAAAGTGCTGTAGCAGTCAGCCCTGGTTCCTGGATGAGGATGGTCAGGTTAGCAACCTACACAGATATCGCCCAGCCCAACCTGTAGCTCACCAGATTAGACTTGGGCAAATCTGTCCATTTTGGTTTTTCTCTGTTTCTAATTTTTCCAATCATAAGTGCAGCTCTCCACATCATTTTGCATTTTTTTTTTAAAAAAAATCCTCATGAAAATCTACATTTGCATGTAAATTTCCCCTCATATATGCATTTTTCAATGCACATATATTTTTCATATTATTTATTGAATATATATACTGCCCTACACCCCGGAGGTCTCAGGGTGGTTCACAGAATAATATATTATTCTCACTAATATATGGATTTTTATCCACACTTAGCCAAATATATGCAGTTTGTACCCATTACTTGGCTTGAGAACTGCATACATACTCAAAAAAGCATGGCTGTGTTTGCGTATTGTTTCAAAAATGCAAAATAGGTAGGCTACTCCAGATGCTGTTGGACTCCAACTCCCATCAGCCCAACCTGAACAATGGTCAGAGATTATTGGGTGTGTAGTCCACCAATCGGAGGGCCACAGTTTAGCCATTTCTGTTGTAGGCTAACCTTAATGTTTTTCATTTTGTTTTTCCATGAAAGAAAAGTCTTAAACACACGCCCATGTGTTTGTTGTATCTGCAACCAATTTTCATTAGGAGCTACCAAAATGTTACTTGTTGTCTTGCTGCTTGGGCTATCAAATTGCACCTTGTAAAATTTGAGCAGTTAATCTTTGTTAAAGCTTTCTCTTCTCTCTACTCTCAACAGGCAGAAGTTTCTGCACTTAATTAAATATGTCACAAGAGATTAGATCCAGCATACCTGTGTTTGTAGAGGTAAAATGCAAACCCTGATAATATTAGAGCAAAGAACGGTACCAGGATTGCAGCTGCAACAGAACTGCTGTTTGTACCATAGAAGTGATTGGGATGATCTGCGCCCGCACTTAAAGGACCTGAAAAGAAAATGAAGGGAAGGGAAAGAAAATAATCTTTTTAAGGGATGCAAGTATAAGCATATAAATCCAGCAGAAGTATGGCTAGCAAAACAAGCACATTTTTAAAAAGTACTTGTATGAATGCAATGTATTTTCTAAATTCAATAAACATGTATAAAATGTCTAGATAAATAAGTGCTGAGCTATATAATCCTATATGAATGCACACAGCTGCTTTCCTCAGACCATTGGGTTCTCATGCTTCCAACAGGAAGATTCTAACATCACACACACCCCTATGTAAATTATGTCATCATCATCACCTCCATCTCCTGGCAAAGGTTGAAAAAAGGATTCAGAATATTCAGATTTAATCTCATCCACAAATGGTAACAATATCCCTTAATAGCCTTGGAAAATGCAAGCTGGCTATTTCCTTACAGTTTGAAGATACATGCAGAATCCAGGACTACCAAAGTCATTTAAACACAGAACATATTAAAGACTAAGTTGTAAAAGTCATTTAAAGCACTGCTATAATCATCATTCTGCATTGATGGTCTTCATAGAAGCATCCTGCAGTTATCTTATTAGGTTGCTGTTGCATCAAAAATGAAGTGGCAGCATGAAATAGTTGAATTAGAGATTTAATGGCACATTTAAACTAATTGAGAAGATGTGGTAGTAATTGAATACAATAAATATGCTTTTATTTACTTCAATGGTTGGCACAGTGATTTGAGGTTATCAGTATTCAATAATAGACTATATGACACTATATAGGGCTATAGCAGCATTCTTACTTTGTCTTTGGAGCATAAATCTTCCAAAATCTTTTCCGTGTATGTCACCTTGATATGTGAAGACACCTCTGTCGAGTCCCGATGACACCTAGATCAAAAGAAACCATTAAAATCAAGAGTGGACAATGGAACCAACTTTTGTGTTTGTTTGCATTTCATGATTACTGATAACACCAATGAAACAAAATCATCAGAATAGTTAAAACAGCCATTTATAATAACACACAAATCCTGGTTTTCATTTGAACAAAGAGACTCATAAAACTATACATCATGATAAAGACCCTTTTGCATTTGTAGCGTTTGTTAGATTACAAATTCTGAAATATTTGAAAGGAATGCTGCAGTTACCATGGAAGAGATGAGGAACACCTAGGCCAGAGCCTTCCAAATTTTTCATGTTGATGACACACTTTTTAGACCTGCATCATTTCGTGACACAGTATTTCAGTTTTACTAGTAGACTGGAGGTTAAACTAACCACTTTCCAGTTCCGGGAGGAGCACGGGGAGCATTCACGCAACACACACACACACACACACACACACACTGCAGCTGGCACACTAATGTGTTGCAACACACAGTTTGGAAAGCTCTTGTCTAGGCCATGGGGTCAGATGCAACTCTTAGAGGTGTCCCACCTGCTCCCCAAGACACGCTTTCTTTAGCCATCTTCCATCCTCCTTGATTTTTGTCCTGGTTGTAGGGGCAGAAAACAGCAAATGACAAGTGCTAGGGGCTTGGGTTTGTATTGCCTTGGGCTGGAGCCATAGATTATGAGGAGCTCCCTCTAAGGGGTCTTGAGTAAGACCTCCAGCCCCAGCATGGGACCTGGCTGGCTAGATGCCACACTCTCAGGTTACCACTTGTCTGGCCTGTGCCAAAGTGGAAATCTCACACTGGCAACTCCAGTTCATTTATTATTTATTGCATTTGTGGTATTTTTGTCCTGCTGTTCCCTCCCAAAGGAACCCAGGGCAGAAAACAACAAGTGGTGAAACAATAAAAACATCTTTAAAACAATGCCAAAACAGAGGCAGGCTAGGAAAGATCTCAGTTTAAAGGCAGGTCTTGAAGACAATGGAGTTGCCACCTGTCTAATATTATGGTGAGGGTATTCCAAAGGGTAGGCACTACAATGCTAAAGGCACAATTCTTACATTGTGCGGTATGGATCTCCCATGCAGAATGCAGTGATTGACTGTGCATTTAAGGGGCGAGATGATCATTCAGGTATCCTAGTCTCAAGCTCCGTAGGACTTTATACATCAAAACCAATGCCTTGAATTTCACCTGGTATCTAATTGGCAGCCGTTGAATCAGGACCCTGGTGTGAGGAGGATAGAGACAATTTAATCTACGGCCAGTGGCTGCAGTCCAAATTTGGAATGTGTCCCCCTCAGCTGCAGTTTACATTGTCAAAAGAGGCTCTATTTAGAAGAATGTACATATACGCTCAGACATGCATGTATAGTTTTGCTGAAATGCTGATTTCGGAAAATTGTATGAAGTGATAGGTCACAAGAGTGGCATGTCAAGAAACTCTTCTCTACCCATTACCACTCGCTTCCTCTTGGTATCATGGTTTTTGGTGCTGGATCCTTACACAAACAAAGGAAAAGGAGGAGCAACATGTCTTGCCTAGCAATGACTCTCTGTATCAAAAAGGAAGACAGAGAGGAGACAGGCACAATGATGAAGCTGTCTTCTCATTTTGCACCCTACTTTCACACATCACTTTGTGCAGAGAAAAAGCGTCCCTCTGCCTTCTCTCATATACATATCTGGTTAGCAACCTGGGCTCCTGAAATGTTTACAGTGACTGGGAAAGCACACTTTGGTTACTGGTTCAACTCAAAACACAACATTTCTTAATCAGGAAGAACAACGGATACATTGTTAATACACTCTAGGAAATTGCAGTTCTGCAATTTCATAGCTTTCCTTCCAACAATAATCTTCAGTGAAGATTATGATTACTTTTGAAAAACGAGAAACTTCCACCTTCATAAGTAAGGAAACCATGTAATGAAATTAATATTCTGTTCCAGTATTTTAAAATATCCCAAAGTCCATGAGAAAGTTGGCCCAGCAAAATCTTCCATCTTAGCTGTTCTGTGTCTCATTCTTTGGGAACAAGGCAATGTTAAATGCAACAAAGCAGATGTGTGCAAAAAATACTTCTCTTAAGGAGTCAAGGGAGTAGTGATGGGTTTTATACATTTCAAAATGCATACCACCACAAATGTAAAAATATACGAGAGAGAAGAGATATTTTACTAGGTGGGAACAACATTTGAGTCACATAAACGTACTTACATAGCCATCTAAGGCCCACTTGCCATTTTCAAACTTGCTTGCAGAACCCTCTCTAGGATTTTTAATTTGATAGACTTTCAAAAGCAAATGGGCTTCCTCTTTCTTGTAAACGCCTGCAAAGAAAATTATATAAAGTGCATTTTAAAACATGTTCACCCTGTATTTTTAGACTGAATCTTTTCTGTAAATGACTTAAAATATTTAGCTAGCTTAAACTTCATTTACATAAAAAAACTGTATGTAATTAGATATTACTGCATTTAAATAAATGGTGTAATGTATTCCTACAAACCAGCTTTTAAAACAATGGTTCACAATGGTTCACCTTTGAACCAGTTTTAAAAGTTGTACTCAGATTATCATATATTAGCACCATCAACTGAGATATGAACAAGCATTTTGGCTTAGCATGCAGCCCCTTCACGTGAGCAATGAAAAGGCAGGAAACCCTCCATTAACGACAGTTTTTCCTCTCTCCCTTTAAACACGCACCTGTTGCAAACAAAGCAGTATGGCCACTCCAAAGCTTTCGTAGACACAAATGGTATTTAACATGTCATCATGTATAACTTCCCTGTTAGCATATTGAGGACAAATAATGATAGACAATATGGGCCCCTCCAGACCTCAGTTGATAACTAATGTACAGTGGTACCTCGCAAGACGAATGCCTTGCAAGATGGAAAACTCGCTAGACGAAAGGGTTTTTTGCTTTTTGAGCTGCTTCGCAAGACGATTTTCCCTATGGGCTTGCTTCGCAAGACGGAAACGTCTTGCAAGTTTGTTTCCTTTTTCTTAACACCGTTAATACAGTTGCGACTTGACTTCGAGGAGCAACTCATAGAACGCGGTGTGGTAGCCTTTTTTGAGGTTTTTAAAGACTTTGGTGATTTTTGAAGCTTTTCCAAAACTTTCCTGACACCATGCTTCGCAAGACGAAAAAAATCGCAAGACGGCAAAACTCGCGGAACGAATTAATTTCGTCTTGCGAGGCACCACTGTAAGTTCAATGTGTGCATTAACTTGCAAATGTGCACAGAGCTTTTAAGAGTCTGTTTGATTTTTTTTTTAAATGTTTCAATTGCTAGATCTGATCATAAAACCATGCCATGGAAAAGACTATGTTTTGAATTAGAAGTAACTATGGGATAGATTGTGTTTATTGAAATAATTTATGGGAGTAAGATATATAGAGGTTTATTTTTACAAAGCACTGGCATGGAAAAACACTTAGCAAAATGGCAGAAACTTTGCATGTAAAGAAATATTATTATATTTACATCAGCAGCAAAATGTCAATGTCCCCTAACTGCCAGGTATCAAAGGGGACGTGTGGTGACTACAGGATGTGATTTCTTCTACAGGTTAATAGAGGTAGCAAACAATAATAATTTTAATCTAAACCTATTTCATTCATCAGATTCAGCTGCAAGCAACCAAATCATTTCCAAGTGTTGTGTCATAATATAAGGCTTTCTAGTAGTATAAATAGATCTCTTCTTCTACCTTACGCATGCTACATGTAAATCGAAACAGGTAGGAACATGTCTCCAAAACCTTGATTGCAGCTTCAAAATGGGATTTCAAACCTCACCTGATAGCTTGAGCTGTGTGCTAGATGCTTCAATGAATGTAGCATTCACTTTACTGCTTGTAGCATTGAACCAGTCAACGGTTAGAGTTGCAGGTTGTCTTTTCCCTTGATGCTCATAAAAACCTTTCCACAATGAATTTATAAAAAATACATCTGAAGGAACTGGAGAAAAGACGAACAAAGAAGTAAATCACTACAACAAAATGCAAGCAGATGTGTGTCTCTACTTCTTTGAGTATTCATTATTTAGTTCACTATTAGAGGGTCCACACATTGTTTCAAAACCTTTGTTGTATTGAAATATTTATAATATCAATGATAATAGAGTATATGAACTTATGGTGAATCTTTATGCATAGTGACATCTTCCTGCTGCAGTTGAAGTCCAAAGCAAATTGCTTTGGATCTCTTACTTCTGCTTCTCCAGAAATACATGAGAAAACATATCCTCTTTATTACCAATGGATTTAGGATGATACGTTGGAATAATAATGAAATGATCAGTTGGTTGTAATGCAAGTTGTACTACTAAGAGAAACACTCCTTACTGTCCTTTAGAACAAATTCAAGGCAGTTTGAGTGTACTCTTGATGGAAGTTATACATGCCTAAGTGTCTCATTGACTTCAGTTAGATGAACGCATGAAAAATTAGGCAGAGATTTGCAGCCATAACTTCTATATTGCTTTCTCAGTCCCCCACCCCCCAATTCCCATATTTTTTGTGAAGATGTAAGTTACATAGACCTCCATTCTGCATGTTCAAATACTGACAATTGTCATGTGTGTCATTATGCCATTTCGTTCATTTTCTAGTACAGCAGAATTTACACTCTTAAGAAAATACCATACATCCTATGTCAATGACATAGTAGTTTGTAATAGACTTGTCCATGCAAAACTCTCCCTGTGTGACACAGAGGTAGATTAAGAGGCGCACAACCATTTCGGCTGCACTGGCTGCAGAGCCTCAAGGGGCACCCCAAATATGATATAGAATGGAGGGCGAGCGTTAGTGAGGTGCCAAGTTTTGGTGTCGCACAGGGCGCCTCTGAAATTTGAGACTGCAAGGTCTGCCACTATTGGATTTCACACTGTAAGTGCATGGAAGTGATCCACCCCAAACTTCATCTCATGGAGGTGATGGAAGGATATTTACTAATCTTGTAACACCTCTTCAACACCTTATTTTCTCCCAGGTTTGGATGGGGTTTTTCAGATGGGTCATCCACCAGCATGCCCCCCCCCGAACACTCCTGTTTGCCCCTACTGATAGCAGAGCTCCAAAATTAGTTGGTCCAAGCACTTGGCATGCCATGTGGGTTGGGAAGGGGGATTCAACATCTGTTTCCTCCCGGCCCCTTTAGTTCTAAGCTCTTTTTCCAGCCTTCAAGATGATGATCTGGTGTTTTGTTTTGTTTTTTGCCCCTGGGAATGTCCTCCCAGAATAAAATTGCAGCCTTTATGGCTTTTCACTTAAATATCTGCATTTCTTAATGTACAATTTTGTTACTTTTTTGGGAGCCAAAAATTGTGCTAGGCTATTCAGAATGTCTGAAAGTCAGAGTATAAATGAATTTCGATCTGCATGCCAGTCTGGGAGGTGTGTATCAGGTCAGCTCATATAAGAATTCATAAAGATTGGATTTCTCAAGCATCCCTACTGAAGCTCTAGGTGTCATTTGGCAATGAACTACTGAGATGCTTCAGATGCTACTTGCCTTTACCAGTAAGTTTCCTACGGCAGTTTTACTGTTTCCTGTTTGACAAGCCTGAGGGATTAGTGATGAATCATTGCTTATTAGTCAGCTTCTGTTTCCCATGGGAGGGGTTTTAATTACCGGCTTCCTTTAATTGTTTATTTTATTTCTTATCTAGCAAAATAGCAACATTTCATTATAAAGTGGGGGGGGGGATGAGAGGAAACCAGCAATTAACTCACACACGAACAAAAGCTGACTTATTAAGAGGCAATACACCACTAATCCCCTCAAGCTGTGCTGAACAGGAATCAATAAAAGGGACAGAAAGAGGAAACCACTAATTACAGTTGTAGGAGAACCTTTGCTGAACAGGATTCATTTTTGAAGGAAAACATTGTGGAATGATCTTCAGGAACAGCACAGCTGTGTAACACAGCACCACATTAAATGCACTTTGTACCATCATTTTATTACCATTTGAAGTTGACTGCATTAAAAACATTGCCTCAGCAGCATTAAAAAAATCTCATATGGAAGTTACTGAGGTATAAATTAAAGCTACAGAAATTGGTGTGAAATATTCTAAGGATTCTGAGGTACGCTCCACATGTTAAATTTTTCCTGCACCCAAGTACACTTAGAACTGCATTAGGAAAACTGCAGGGAATAACCCACACTAGCAATGTGACAAAATTATGTGAATAGTGGCTCTCCACCAGGCAATGTCATCATACACCAAGCCCAAACTGAGGAAAGACAAGCTCCCTATTGTATGCATGTACATTTCCCAACTTAAGGAAACTTTGCTATTCTTGTTTCCGGCCTTCAATTGTAAAAAAAAACAACCAAAAACATGGCATGGGAACTGAGCACCTAGCAGAGCAAAACACACGTCTAGTGTGTTATATGGGACCTGATAGGTCAGAAGCTAAGTTAGGGAAATTTATTTATTTTATTTATTCCTATTCATTCCTTCATAAGGAGAGCTGAGCAGTGGGATAAAATACTAGGAACACTCTAAAATGTAAACAACAAAAGCAGTAAAATTCACAGCGGCCCAAATCATTAGAAGGGCATGAAAGCCTGACATCAAACATCAATCTAGGTCCTATAAGTAAAATGAAGTAGTTCTTCCACTCAGCACAGTAGAAGGAGAGGTAAGTTTGCAGGGTTTCTCCATTAGCAGAGCTGAGAGACCAGAAACTTTTCTCTTTCTCTCCTTAAGGTTTCACCAGCTGGTCATTTCAATAAGTTTGCAGCTAAGAGCTAGTGTTAAGACTGGGACCATATTATTATTATTTGGCTGAAGAGCAGGGGGGGGGGGAATAGACAAATAAAAGACAGCTGTTCCCTGGTTGCTCTGATACACTTGCATGGGAAGAAAAAACAGCCTGCTGGATCAGGCGATTGACACATCTAATCCAGCAACCTCAGCATCGCAGAGTGGCCAACCAGATGCCTGCTGGAAGCTAAGTTTATTTGCAACTGTGATTTCTGCACTTGCAATTCCCAACAGCTGGGAAATCTTGTTACAAAGTTTCATACGGTCACTATTTGAATAAAACATACAAATTCAGGTTTCACAATTAAAAGAGGATTTGGTGATCTTGTGCAATAAACCTGCTTCAGATCAGACTTTTTTGTGGTAAGGAAAGTGATGAGAAAATGCACTAGAAAGTGTGGGATAGCAATTTCCCAATGTCAAGTCATATAACCTCCCTCAAGCAAATCAGAACGGGCATTCAATAAACAACCAATATTGCACAACCTCCCCGTAAAGTTTGTGCAAACATATCCCGATGTAACAGCTAAATTGTGCACAAGAGGTAGGGGTGGGGTAGAAATTAGATTTTGCTCGCATTTTTAAGAGGAACTACCTAATTTGCAAAAATACTGCTATCCTTCAAAATTCACATTTCTGTGAATTTTGTGGTGCAGTTCTCCAACCAATGTGTAGAAAAAGTGATATATGCATTTCTATGCACACTTTTCACCAATACACCAGTGACAATTACATATGAAAAGCCACATTATGTTAGGGAAAGTTAACTGTAAAAATGTGTATTCATCAAAAGTGTTTACAATAATGTGTTTATTACATAAAAATTCTCACTAAAATGCTGATGAACTTTTGTGAGGGATTTAAAAAAAACGACTCATTTGCTAATTGCTTCAGAAATGTGGAGAACTAAAATTAAAGATTCAAAAATGAGAAAGTAAGAGAAACCAAAATCCCTAGCAGGGCATCCTAAGCAAGGTAGAAATAAAAATAAAAATCTATTATTCCATTCAAAGAATGTGTATGGGCATAAAGTATGGAGGGGTCATGGGGCCAGACACCTTTTAAGAAAGGTCTGAAGAGGAGATTCTCTGCATATTCAGATGGTTGCACTTAGATCTTTCAGATACTTTGGATCTTTCTACAGGAGCACTAGGGTGGGATGGGGACAGAAGAGTCAGAGCGGTCATACGCAGCCCTATCTCCAAGCCATAAAAATTCTAGGAATGCGTGAACAAAGCTAGGATCTGGTAGATGATCTATATTCATCATTTTGCAGTATAACAGAGATAAAAGCAAAACTTCCAGGAAAACAGGGATATCAACAAATTATATATCAAAAATTGATTGTGCACTGTACAATGGTACCTCGGGTTAAGTACTTAATTCGTTCCAGAGGTCCGTTCTTAACCTGGAACAGTTCTTAACCTGAAGCACCACTTTAGCTAATGGGGCCTCCTGCTGCCTTCGCACCGCCGGAGCACAATTTCTGTTCTCATCCTGAAGCAAAGTTCTTAACCCGAGGTACTATTTCTGGGTTAGCGGAGTCTGTAACCTGAGCATATGTAACCCGAGGTACCACTGTATCTCAAAATCAGCTCATAAGTGATCTCAGATGACAAAGGCGTTGACTTTGAGACATAGGAAACATACTTTGCATGTAAGACTGTTTCAATAAATAAGTACATGCTGCACATTCAACACTAGAGACACATTGCAGAGACTGCAAGACTGACACAAACCAAGAAAAGACAACTTGCACGGTTGTTCCCTACCCTACTCATTTGACTAAACTTATGCAGTGAGAAAAAGATTCAACTACAGTAGCGTGGTAGTTAATAACTATTAATGAGTGCACAATGAATTACTCCACAACAAATTTGCTCAGATGGAAGTTTAAAATCTTATACAATTTGGTATAGTAGAAAGGAGATTCATACATTCAATGAGGGCACTAATGAGCCAACATGATGGAGTGGCACAAGTTATTCCCTTCCTTCACTCAGGATCTCCCCTCCACCACTTCAGTGTGAACTGAGACCTCTGTATGGACAACCAGGTTGAACTAGGTGTCAGTGCAAGGGAGCACTTATGAGGAGTACAGTTTGCACTGCAAAGCATCTGCACGGCAGAAAGAAAAGAGTGAGAGCTACTCTTCTACTATGTTGTTGAAGCTCGGCCCCCAGCTGAATGTATGAACTGTGGCAGAGAAAAGTAGAACCATATATATATTTGCTTTTCAGGTAGTCTGGTCATTAGTAGAAGGCAGTGCCTAATTCTTACATGCACTCATTTCCTACAGTGATGGTCTAATGAACTCTGCAGAGCTGGTGTATCTGCATGGTTATTGCACAAACACACTTGAGCAGAGCCAAGCACTTCTCCCTCTAGGAACCAGCGTAAATTTCACTTAAAGTGCTGCAAGTTATGTTTTGGGGGAATCAAGTGAACTGAGCTCGATGATGGGCTGGATCTAAACAATTTTGAGCAAAAGGGAAACAATTGCTGCTAACACTCTTGCATACAAGAGTTCACACAGTGTCAGAATAGAGAGGCTATGTTGCTTCCTTTTGTGCAAGCAGAACAACACCTTGGGATTTTATTTCATTTGTGGTGTCCTAGCACAAGGTGCTAGGGACGTGGGTGGCACTGTGGGTTAAACCACAGAGCCTAGGACTTGCCGATCAGAAGGTCGGCGGTTTGAATCCCCATGACGGGGTGAGCTCCCATTGCTCAGTCCCTGCTCCTGCCAACCTAGCAGTTCAAAAGTACGTCAAAGTGCAAGTAGATAAATAGGTACCGCTCCGGCGGGAAGGTAAACGGCATTTCCGTGCGCTGCTCTGGTTTGCCAGAAGCGGCTTAGTCATGCTGGCCACATGACCCGGAAGCTGTACCCCGGCTCCCTCGGCCAATAAAGCGAGATGAGCGCCACAACCATAGAGTCGGTCACGACTGGACCTAATGGTCAGGGGTCCCTTTACCTTTGCACAAGGTGCATAATGAAAGTCACACAAATTGAATACATTTTCTGCATATAGAATGGATCCAAGTTTATGTCAGCAATAACTATCTTAATGAAACTGCTCACAGGGGTGGTGGTATTTAATACAGCTTGAAATCTAGGTTGGTTTTTGTTGTTTTCAGCATAAAAAGGGTTGCACAGCCAATCACAACTTCTAATGTGAACTACCTATATATTACATGTGTCTGCAAACATGTTATACAATGTGTGGAGTCGCCCCAAGTCTGTGTTATACGGAACTAGTCTGAGCACGTGCCACTTTCTTCTTCCTCCATTTAGGAGACAGGTAAAGTGTCAACTCTACTATCTGCTTTGAAAAGTGGTTTTCCCACTGCAATTGTAAAAAAATGTGCCGACAAGTGCTGTGAGTTTAACATTTACTCATATAAAGTTATGCAACTTTAAGCAGATTTAGGCAAAAGTGTAAATTTCATTTCCAAATCTAAATTTTAGAATACATTTTTTTATTATTGTGAACTTGAACATTCATAAGATGAAAACGAAATAGATTTTACCTGAAATCTCAGCATAATGCAATTCTACTTTCATTATAAGGCTCTCCATTATCGTGCACTGTCTGATATAAAGCAACTTTATCTAGCGCCTTGTGTTTAATATGTAAAATTACTCTTTTGGTATTGGCCTAGTTCTCACTGAAACGAGAATGTATGGGTTGTACTACCTCAGATTGCAGGTGGAGACGCATATGATTGAGAGTATAAGTGTATTTTAGGAATGCTTGGGAATTATTATTTTTTTTGGGGGGGGGGGAGGGGAGTAATCTTAATTCCAAAGACAACACAACTGACCCGGAGCCCTTAAATGCACTTGTGAATCAGAACGCCGAAATCTACTTTTCTCTTAATTAGGGCCCATGTTACATGGGCTACCTTTTAACCTCCCCCTTTTAAAAACTGGTTCTACAGACTTGGAATGACCACGAAGAGTAGCAGTTGTTGAATGCCTTGAAAATCAGTCTGAAAATACCTACAAGGGGATTTGATGTGCCATCCCTCTTCTGAACTTGGATAGGGGTGAGGGGTGGGGAGATACCTGCCCCTATGTACCCTTCCATGAAAACATCCCCCCCCCATACAGTGTCAAAGGAGGGGTGGCATGTCATCACATCCTGTTATCCCAAGGACTTTTGAGGCCCTTTTGCAAGCCATGTGGGCATCTGCTGTGCTTTCTAGCCATGCCAAGTGGGTAGAACATGTTAAATAATGGAGGGAGGGTGGTGAAAAGCCAACTCTTGGACCACCTGGTAAGATTATTTAAAAAAAAAATAAATACCATACGTAGATGGAATGGATCTATCTTCGTATTGGCCATGTGTGAAATTCCATTCTCTCCACACAGGAAAGTATAATGGAGCATTAGAATCCTTCATTTTCTATGTGGAGACATTTTTTTCTCATGGAGCGGCATTCAGTCATATGAACCCCGACCTGTAGCCTATAGTAGTATAACCCAGACACTGATTTACTGTCTCCATGAAAGCTAAGCCATACAAACATCTTCAATTATGCCACATAAGAGGACATTGTATTAAAGGCTGTATATATATATATACGCACAGAGAGAGAGACAGAGAGAGAGTTGTGTCATGACCAATTTCGGACAGCAATTTTTATATGCCAGTACTTTTGTGAAATTGTTTCGTTTTGTCATTTGTAATGAAATGATTCATTTGAAAGTTAGAAAGAATTTTGCTGTATGAGAAACACTGGACTAGAGAGCGATTTAATGTATTTAGTTCTAAAACTGTTCTCGTATACAAACCTGGAGTTTTAGTTATTGTTTCATTAACTTCTCTCACTCCTTTACCTACAAGTAAAAAGACAAATTATCATTTTTATGAACATACTGAGTTATGTATAGAATGTTGATACATCATTCTTGATTGAGGCAATTGTGTGTTCTCCAATACGCCTACCATTTATAGCAGAAGTAAAATCTATATTACATATCCAAGCAGTTATAATTCTACACACTCATCAGAGAGGGGGGGAAAGAATGAGATGGAAATCTCCAGGGAGTCCATTTGTATTGTGGCAAGCTTGCTGATTGCAGAAATAATTACTGCACTCATTTCTAAAAAATGATTAGTTTTATATCAGCTACAGTGTTGTAACAGAGAGCCTTATATTGGTGACAAAGATGTTGCACCTGTATGTCCATCATTATTATTACATATATACATACTTGTAACCTACAATTAAATTATACTGAACTAATTGTATAATACCCCAGGAACTGCCAAGACAATTACAATGCTTCATAATACATGCCAGCTGTGGTGGATAAATCTTTGGCATGTGTGCTATATTAAAGAGTGCTACTTAAGTGTGCACTGCAATGCATACATGGCCACCATGTATTGGGGTGACGTTGCCACTAATCTACTAATAACACAATCCTAGGCATAATTACTCTGAAGTAGGTCCCACTGCACCCAATTGGGCTTACACCCTACTAAGCGTGTTGAAGATTCCAGCCCAAGACTAGAATGAAGAGAGGGGCAAGGGGCAGATCTGCAAGCCTGATTCTGTTCCCTAGGCAGATCCTAGGCTTTCATCCTTCTCTCTAAAAATAACACAGACACCTGCTGCCTTTGATACTTGTGACACCCATAGTTTGCCTAATTGTTTTAAGATTGTTCAGCAGAAAGCTTGAATTCTGAAATGCATCTCAGATTGTTCCATCAGAATCTATTAATTTATTGATATATCTGCCGTGTAAGAATGCTGTCTGAGAAATTAAATCTTATAGGGCCTTTTGTTCAGGTTGGTTTTAGGCACATTGTTAAATGGCAAGGAGCAGAGCTCATCCTCAAACAAGTTGAATTAGGTAATGTTACAGGGCTGAAGACCCATGGGCAAATTTTGACCAGGGGTGTCACAAAATCTATCTTTTTGCTTGTGCTGCTAATTCTTACTAGAATGAGACATGTAGATTGTTTATAAAAGAAACATGTAGATTTATATGAAAACATTGTTTTTCATATAAATGAAAAACAAAAAAAATTACATATTTTTTTGATCCAGTATTCTTGCAGGACCCATAAATCATTTCATAATTTGACACCTTTAGTACTATATATACATTAAACACTAAAAGACAACACATGAAAAACTGTAAGACTGTGACATAGACTGAGATTAAGGGAAACTTAGTTGCAACACCCCCCACCCCCACCCCATTCAAGCCCAACCTAGCTTTGTTTGATATATAGGAGAGTGCTACTTACTTGTCATTCTTCCTTGAGAGGGTGGGGACACACCATGTAATTCATAAGATGGTCACGCAGAGTGTCCATCTGACCTGACAGGAAACTATAGCAAGTAGTGTCAAGAGTTGTGGAGACCTTCCTCCAACCAAGTCTGAGAGACAAGTCAGGCTATATCATGCCAGAGGGAGGCGAAATCATATAGAGTTCAGCTTCTCCTCATTTCTAAGAGCAAGTCCCATTCTTAAGACTGCTGCACAAAGACGAGGCAGCACACATTTGTTGCACTATGAGAAATTCCTGAAGTATAAGCACACACTGACTCATAAGAGGCTACCCTTTAAGAGATACAGCAGGTGCCAAGATGCCATGTTTAACCTCCAATTGAACCCTAAATCAGAAACACTGGGAAGCACAAATGATTTGGAAGATAAAAACACCAAAAGCTGAGGGCAAAATACACATCACATGCAATTGTATGAAACTTTGTCCCAATATCTGCTTGTTTTACATGGCCTTTGTCTACTATTGATGATAAAGGACTAAAGAGTCCATATTTAATCCACTGGAAGGGTCAGGGGACATGAGGTAATTCAATCAGAAATCACTGCAGCCTTTCAGCCTTTTTTAAAATAATAATAAAAAATCAATATGCCACCAGTTGCATGGAGAGAAATGCTCTCACCACCCGCATCATAATGATTGGAAGGAGAAAACACATAGATACATATTGCACAAAACAACAAATATTTTCCGTTAGAAACTTGGAACAAATCCCTGCCCAAGGACAAGCAAGATTCTTGTCTGCTGCAGGCAGACTCCTTTCAAGTAAAGGTATGGCAAATCTGTATCTTGGGTTGCATTTCCACTTGTACAGTTGTAAAGCCCCCTTCAATTTTTCTAATAGTACTTTTAACTGAAAAGTTCTATACACAATGAAGTCAATGAAGATTGGTTTGTTTGGGATCTTCAGTGAGCAATGCCCCATGGACTAGGTCAGGGACAAAACAATTCTCTGGAGACTTAAAAAAACCCAGCCTTTAGGGATCTGAGATTAATGTCCAAGAGTGACAAAAAGAAGAGAAACACTTTCAATATTCATACGTATTTCGGCTGTTTGAAGAAAGGTCGTCCCTTGTCAAAAGAAATCATAACTCGGGGCAATTCAGCTCAGCATACAGCCTCTAAATGAGATATCTAGCAGATTTCTAGCACTGCCCCACTGCGTGCAGTGGATATGGATGTTTTAACACATTTCAATGGAAAGTCAGGATGAATATCAGGGGTTGTCACTGTTTCCCATAGGAAAGCACAATCTGAAAGAAAGTCTAGACTTGATTTTAAGACTTGATTCCGCCTCATGGATAATGGAGGAGGAAGCAGGGGTGTGTTTGTAGGTATCGAGAAGGTCTGCACATTCCATCCTGGCCACTCAGTTACATGGTAGAAATGCTCACTCGCACTTTGAAGGTTGCTGTGTGGTTGAAGTTGAGAAGTGGCAACTGGATATCACCAAGGTGCCTCTATGTGTTTTGTGCCTGTAGCACAGGACTGCTGCTCCAGTAGGGAGCCTGCAACTCCTCCAAGGAACTCTTAGGTTCAGAGTAGTTCAGAGCAAATGACTGGCTCATTGGAAGCCATGAGGCTAGTTAAAGCAGGGACACACAGGGTATCTATTTTTGGGTATGAAAGACACCTGGATATTGTCTCTATCCTAGCATCGTGATTACAAGAACATACAATTTCAACATGGTCAGCTACTGCAGATGTTCTGCAAAAGATGTAACAAGGCATAAGGAGATAACCCAGCTCATGCAGGGGAAGAAGTAAATATGCATCACCAATACTATGAGCTTTACAAGCTGTGTCTTCCATGGGTGCATTCCAGGAGACACTGCAGGTAAGGGTTCCAAGGTTGGCATAGCCCTGAGGTGAGGTGAGACTCCCAAGTTTGAGCAGAGGGTAAGTGGAGGGCGGCTGGCAATGTGAGCTGCTGGGCTGCTCCTGGTTTGCTGGCCACTGGTCCATCTGCTCCTATCCCCCACCCCCCCAAGAGAAGGAAATAAAGTCCCCAGCTAAGTGCACATACGGTCACAGGCTTTAAGCAGCCCCATCAGCCTGATAGGCTCTCAACAACTCTTGTAACTGCTTGCCGGAGTTTCCCAAAAGGTAGCCCAGCCCATTCAAGAAGCTGAACACCTACACGCATGACTTGTGGGGCAAAGAAGAAACGTATACACTCTTCAGTCTTGAAAATGGCATGTCGATCTCACGGGTTCATTGCTACTTTTATCATTCTATACACAGGAAAGGGATACTAATGCAATATTTTGAAACATAGCAGGCCTAATTCACATCACAGCGCACATTTTTTATTATTATGCATGAGCTTGGACTTGTTAGCAAGTAGAAACTAATTGAAACATTATTTTCGTCAGTAACTTACTTTTACAAACCGGTGACTTTCCTGTCCATTTCATATCTGGCTTACACGTTCGGTGTTCTGATCCACCGGCAAGGAAAAATCCTGGCTGACACGTATACACCAAAGTGTAGCCTAAGGTAGGCAGATCAATTGCTTTCACATCCACGTTTGCAGGTGTCTCTGGCTGCCTGCAAGCATGAGCTGAAAGTTTGAAAAATATATATATATATCAGCAAAGTATATATCCAAATCCAGAAAAATGCAATGAACGTGTTGTTACTGTAAGCAAAAATGTAGTCAACTTCCATGTTATGAATAGCTTGGCATGTTTTTTCTGCGTTGCAGGTGAACATGTTTTTGACAAAGAAGCAATGTGAGCGAGAAATGTAAAATAAGTTGGACTCGAGGGTATTCAGAACACCTTCTTTCCCCGCACATGGAAGATTATTAGGAAGGTAACAGAGAAAAAGAAAAGGAAAGCTAAAGCACACGTCATTGCAAATTAGGCTGTGATCAGTACTATGAATTACTGAGCTGTCTGCTTCACTTCCATTTCAGTGACTCAAAGAACCTTGAAAATTACACAGTGATTTCTGTGCTAAATAAATTCATTATAAACCTCTGCAAAATAAAGGTTCCATAGAAAGGTTTTTACTATGCTACACTGGTTGTACAAGCCACTGTAAGTATACTTCTCTTCTTCTTTGTGCTCTGCTCATTCACAGCATCTCAGAGTTAATTTGAAATAAGATAAGAACCTAAGGTCAGTCTTGCTTCGCATCAATGTACTTTACTGAATATGCTCTCTGATGTCTTCTTTTTTGTCTTCTAGCTGTCATAAAAAAATCTAAATATATTAATCTTCAAGCATTTCATGCAGAGCCTGGGACATCTGCCTGACACTTAATCACACTTTGACTATAGGGCTAGGGATGGAGGATGCCCCTTTCTGAGGCCAAGAGCCACAGTCACGTCAGCACTGAATTTCTTGGAATGGATCAGAATGACAAGGGGGAAGCAATACTGGAAGAAAAAGCCAGATTGCAACTGTGCATGCAATCACATTACTGCTTTTTTGCACTGCTTTTTCCATGTGCAGCTATGTTTTGTTAATGGAGGACAGGAAATCATGAGAAAACTAAACTAAGGAAAGAAATGCATGCACCTGTCTGATAAAAATGTTTGTCTGTGGTGTGTTTACACACACACACACACACACACAGAGAGAGAGAGAGAGAGAGAGAGAGAGAGAGATTAAGAATTCCTAATGTATTGGTTGCACTTCAGAAACAAGTGTGGGTAATTCAGAACTCCAAAATCCAGGAAGAAAAGCAACTGAGCGTAATTTTTGCAGAACCCAGTCCTTATCTAAAACAAGGCTTCCTTCCCACTTCCACACATCTAAGGGTATATGATAATTATGGCATAGTTGTTGTTGTTTAGTCATGTCCGACTCTTCGTGATCCCATGGACCAGAGCACACCAGGCACTCCTGTCTTCCACTGCCTCCCACAGCTTGGTCAATCTCATGTTCGTAGCTTTGAGAACACTGTCCAACCATCTTGTCCTCTGTTGTCCCCTTCTCCTTGTGTCTTTCCCAACATCAGGGTCTTTTCCAGGGAGTCTTCTCTTCTCATGAGGTGGCCAAAGTATTGGAGCCTCAGCTTCAGGATCTGTCTTTCCAGTGAGCACTCAGGGCTGATTTCCTTAAGAATGGATAGGTTTGATCTTCTTGCAGTCCATGGGACTCTCAAGAGTCTCCTCCAGCACCATAATTCAAAAGCATCAATTATTCGGCGATCAGCTTTCTTTATGGTCCAGCTCTCACTGGTCCAGAAATCTCCCGTCACATAAGAGGCCATGTACATGTAAGCAAATACAACATGTACACAAGACCTGAGCTAGAATGCTCCACAGCTGCCTGGATCACCCAAGCAAATATTGCTTCTGAGTAGTGACCTTGTGTAAGTGAAGTTTTTATTTTACCATCCTGTTTCTTCTTCTTCATCATCATCATCATCATTTTTTTTAAAAAAAGATACATAACTGAAGTAGTTAACATTTGTTACTTACAAATGCATTCGGGCTGTATGCCACTCCAAGTTAGATTTGCAAGACAAGTGCGTGTAGTTGACCCCTGCACGTGATAACCCTTCCTACATCTGAAAAAGACTCTGCTCCCAACCTAAAGAATTAAAAAGAAAATTTAAAAGGAGAAATAACCACAATAGAACACATAATATTAATCTCTTTGCCACAACACAAAATAACATTTTGGACATTTCCCTTCTTTTCCTTTTCCAATCGAGTCAATGAATACAGAGAGTTTCCACGGAGAACACCACCAAATGCTTGGCACACATTATCTCTCTCCCCATTTTGTCTGCGTTTCGTGAAAACAGCTCGGTCCTCCGTGAACTGACATGTGTGACAAACACAGTGACTGCATTCCTCAATGTGAATATTCTTTTTGTTTTGTTTTAAAATATAAATTCTACTTTTTCGCTTTAAGGGCTGCTAAGTACGTCAGCTTATCCTACTCTTCAACTATAGCTTTAACTAATTAATGTGAAAGAGTTAGAAAGCTTTCCTTCAAGACTCATTGACTCAGGAGAAGAAACCCTGGCAGAAAAAGTTGTCCTTTCCCCATATAGACAGAGCCCATGGTAAATCACCCAACAGTCAAAGTTGCAAACATGTCGTTTTCAATTGACCAGTAACTGTATATGTGAGTTTGCGCATTCAATATTCAGTTTTGCACTAGTAAGAAAACAATACAGCAAACCATTTCACTCAGGAGAAAAATGGGGTAAGAGGAGAAGATAGATAATTGCCCAATCTTTATCATTTAAAGACTGATTATGGTTTTGCAAACGATGAGGAAATTGGAGTCAAACCTCCACAACAGACACGTTGACTTACTGACTTCTTACTGACCTTTACGGTTCACACTGTGGTAGAATTTCACTTGAAACAGTCATAAATATGCAAAATGTTAAGTCAGCTGTGGTGTTTATATACTTTTGAAACTATTTGTCAATTGCTCTCAAGACAGACCCTCAAGTTACTGCCTTGTGCCTAATTGAGAGATTATATGGAGAGCACACAATCAAGCAGTACATTGACCAATATGCATGATAATTTCCGTTTCAGCATTTGTGCTGGAGATTCATCACAATTCACCAATTAAACGAAATTACTTGACAAATTATCTGTTGCCCCTCCCAAAAAAAGATCAAAAATGTTAATTGAGCACCAGCCATTCTGACCATGCTCATATTATTCTTATCGCTAAAATAAATACTGGGTGTCCTCCCCCCCCCTTTTACTTAAAAATGCTTATGTTATAATCATTGTCAGAAGGTTTCAATGTTTCAAGCTGTTCAATGAAATCAACAGGAAGGTTCTCTTGAAAATGCTGGAAGAAGACATTTTAAAACGTATGGGCTTTTAAAAGCTGGAAACAACTTGGCACAAAACCCTAGGTTTCTAGCAGACCAAGATCGGTGCTCCTAAAGCACCATGTGCAAACAGGTACTCTAAATCTAACAGCGCCGAAAAAATTACCTCATAGCCTCTAGAACTATTCTGTATTCCATAATGGGGTGTGCCGGGATCTGGGCAACTGTTGTGAGCAGGATCTGCAATTGAAAACAGAAGTGAGTAGGGAATTCATGAGCAGCCTGTTATGCAGGAATACGTTATTTAAGTCTCCCAGAGCACCTAACATACGATCAGTAAAAAGAAAACTTACATTCTACAATACATAACACCAAAGGGAACAAAGTTTTTGGCCCCATTGAAATGTAGTTCTGGAGGTATCACTTGATTTTCTGTAAAGGGTTACCTTTTCTCTTTAGGAGTGAATGGCAAAGTGCTAAACTTAGGACAGTGGGAGTCCACTCCTTGCATAGTGTTTTTGTGCGCAAGGGAACCCAAAGGCTCCTTGCCGTACCCAAGCCTGTCATGCACAATGTCCACCATAATGATAGGCATTTTGCTAAGTTGTAGTAATTTCCAATGCACAGTATTTGTAACCTTATAATCCAGAAAAAAATAGGATCTGCTACTTCCTATTTCTAGCCTGATTTTAAATTTCAATCCTAGGCAGCCACTTTAATCATGTTGTCAGTGGAATATATAATGGACTTATTTACAAAGCAAATCTTACAGGCTTCAGAACTCAGACAGATGAGAACGTAACACATGACTTATATATAAAAAAGTGTACTTCAGCAATCAAGGGACTTTTAACTTCATCAGCAGTTTGACTGTGCATCTGCTAATGGGAAAATGAAACAATATCCCACCAATGGGAAAAAAAAATCTAGTGTGTGTGTAGGACTTACAGCTGCAGTGGCTGAATAAAAGTAGCAAGGAAAAATTAGACAGTGTCACCTTTGGGGAAGTGCTGTTTACAAAGGATCATTGTTACTCTAAAAACATCTCAGCTCAGATTATGAAATTCAAAATTGGATTTACTACCTCAGATCCCATCTCCCCGGGATGATAAATGTTCAAACATGGTTTTGTGGTTCAGTGCTGCCTACTAAAAGCAAATTACACACACATACAGAAATACGATGCGGTGTAAAAAAAAAATCCTGAACGGTACCGTCTTGTGGGCTCCTCCAGAATGGTGCCCCCAGCAAAGCTCTACAGACACAATTAGGCAATAATTCCACCTATTGAAAAGTTGCTCTCTTTTTTAACTACTAGTAACTGGCTGATGTGCTTCCAGCAGCCACTGAAGGCAAGCTTTAGCAAATTGCCAGTGGCCTCAGCGGGCAACTGTGGTGGAAAGGTTTCAAGCACCAGGAAGTGACGTTGAAGGCTGAGGTAGGGAAAACCTGTGTCAGCTCCATGCGAGCATCAAACGTCCACACTAGGGCCAATCCTTCTCCCCACCCCTGTGTCCTGGTGCTTAAACAAAAAGAAGGGAACTCTGCCTCCTCTTTCAGTTGCCACATAGTGACTTGCAAGCCGGTTCCCTTGGTGGACTCTCACTGGCTTTGACGGTGCTACTTTAATACAAGATATCCATTAACTCTCTAAACATCAAATGAAACCATGAAGTGTTAATACTGTTTCCCTTTCTTTTTAAAGACCTTTATGGTCTCAGTGATGTGCTAGTGAAGTTAAGAGCTCTACAGGAGATTAACATGGCTGCTAAAGCAGCCTTAAGGGTTGCAGCTGCTCAGGTGGAGAGGAAGAAAAATAAGATTCTTTTAACTGCGCAAAACTATTTCAAAAGGGGAAAAGATCAGTCGCAGAGTAGAATTATTACTTTAAATGAATGGTGCTCCATCGCCAGGATTTCCTTTAACCCGAGAGCACTGGATCAGTTTAGCACAACCAACATAAAAATCAAACTCTACCCGTAGGGACAAGGTCACCTAACTGTACAGGACTGAGTTACTTGTCATTAATGCTGCATTATTTGTGAGATGGAGAAGGCAGTGGAATTGCTCTGTCTTATTGTGAAAGCTGACTGACTTTTACCCTTACCAGGTGGGCAGACAAGAGAAGATGCGGGAGGCTGGGAAATTCCCAGCCTGGGAAATTACTGAGATGAAGAAAAACGATGGATGAAAAATGCCTGAAAGCAAAATTCTATGCTCTTGGATGAAAGGGGCTGTTTGGGAGAGGAGGGGACAAAGGAGTAAGCAACGTGAGAACTGAGCACAGTCCCCAAAAGAGAATATATTGTCCCAGTAAGGAAATTATAAAAGTTATCCTAGCATAAATGTTGAATGAATCAAGGAATCTGGAGTAAGGAAAAAGTAAATGGAAAATAAAACAGGGGGCTAGATTCAACAAAATAATTGCACAATGAGTCCCATTCTGTGTTTTTGTGTCAGGGAGCTTATTGGACAATGCATTAGAACAATTCCTTAAGCTGATCTTAATTAGAATGATTCCTTCTGTCTGCTTAGGAAGCACTTGATTTTTTACCTATGAAAGGGGCAATTGATATAGCCTGCAGTCAAACAAAAACCTCCCACACAAAATCCATGCATCCCACTGGGGTGAATCCTGACATGAATAGGGTATACAGTAGAAGCCGGGTTGCGAAGTGATCCGTGCGGGAGGCATGTTGCAACCGCAGTGCTGATCTGCGCACGCACGGGTCACGATTCGGCATTTCTGCACATGCGCAAAAGCTTCAAAGTTAGTGCTTCTGCGCATGTGCTGAAATCCAGAATAACTTGTTTCGGTACTCAATAGGCGACGACCCAGGGGCTTGAGGGGGCTCGAGCCCCTCAAAAAATTTTTTGGGGGGGCTCAGCCCCCCAATAACTCGGGCGCCGGGGGCGGGGGCTCCTGCCTCGCTCTTCGCAGCCACCACGCGCCACTGCCAAGGCAACTGGCCGGGGGGAATTTCTTCCTCCGTGCGGTTCAGCCCCCCGCGAGAACAGGGGAATCCGACTGGCCACACTCCCAGCAGCCAATCGGCTGGCTGGGGGGGGCGGGCTTGCCCTATTTAGGGCCGGAGCCACTTTATTTGCATATTCATGAGCTTATTTATTATTCATGAGCTTTCCGGGCCCCCCCCGAATATTTTTATAAGTCCGCGTCCCTGCCGGTATCTTCCAGGTTCGGTGCAAGTGCACAACCCGGAAAATGTGCAACCTGAAAAAGCATCTGTAACCGAGCTATGACTGTACAGTAATTGCATTTGAATATGTTCCTCCTGACTTCTTCAAATGTGGAAAGTCTGCACTACGAATCTCAACGGATCAGATGCATTTGATCTTATAAACTGCAGATTTATATGCCATTTTCTAAGCTTCAGCAAATCTTTATGAACACGGAGCTTTTTCCTGATTAAAAAAAATAGTACAGTGGTGCCTCGCAAGACGAAATTAATTCGTTCCGCAAGTTTATTCTTCTTGCGAGTTTTTCGTCTTGCGAAGCACGGTTTCCCATAGGAATGCATTGAAAATCAATTAATGCGTTCCTAGGGAAACCGCTTGCCAGGCTGGCGGTGCGGAGAAGGGCTTTTCTCCCCACCGCAAGCCTTCAGGACAGGTACGGGAACAGAGGGGAAGGCGCGCAGCGCTTTCCCTCTGTTCCCGGGGCTTGCGTGGGAGGAGGGTTTTTCCTCCCCACCGCCAACATTCAGAACAGCATTCTGAATGTTGGCGGTGGGAAGGAAAACCCTCCTCCCACCCCAAGTCTTCAGGAAAGCCATCCGAAGCCGGGCGGCGGGAGAAGGTGTCCCCGCCCCCCCGCCCGGCATCGGAGCTTCGTTCCGAAGCCGGGCGGCGGGAGGAGGTGTCCCCGCCCCCCCGCCCGGCATCGGAGCTTCGTTCCGATGGCGGGCGGCGGGAGAATGCGTTCCCGCCCCCGCCCGGCATCGGAGCTTTGTTCCGATGGCGGGCGGCGGGAGGAGGTGTCCCCGCCCCCCCGCCCGGCATCGGAGCTTCGTTCCGATGGCGGGCGGCGGGAGGAGGCGTTCCCGCCCCCCCCCCGCCCGGCATCGGAGCTTCGTTCCGATGGCGGGCGGCGGGAGGAGGTGTCCCCGCCCCCCCGCCCGGCATCGGAGCTTCGTTCCGATGGCGGGCGGCGGGAGAACGCGTTCCCGCCCCCCGCCCGGCATCGGAGCTTCGTTCCGATGGCGGGCGGCGGGAGGAGGCGTTCCCGCCCCCCCGCCCGGCATCGGAGCTTCGTTCCGATGGCGGGCGGCGGGAGGAGGTGTCCCCGCCCCCCCGCCCGGCATCGGAGCTTCGTTCCGATGGCGGGCGGCGGGAGGAGGTGTCCCCGCCCCCCCGCCCGTCATCGGAGCTTCGTTCTGATGGCGGGCGGCGGGAGAACGCATTCCCGCCCCCCCGCCCGGCATCGGAGCTTCGTTCCGATGGCGGGCGGCGGGAGGAGGTGTCCCCGCCCCCCCGCCCGGCATCGGAGCTTCGTTCCGATGGCGGGCGGCGGGAGGAGGTGTCCCCGCCCCCCCGCCCGTCATCGGAGCTTCGTTCTGATGGCGGGCGGCGGGAGAACGCATTCCCGCCCCCCCGCCCGGCATCGGAGCTTCGTTCTGATGGCGGGCGGCGGGAGAACGCATTCCCGCCCCCCCGCCCGGCATCGGAGCTTCGTTCCGATGGCGGGCGGCGGGAGGAGGTGTCCCCGCCCCCCCGCCCGGCATCGGAGCTTCGTTCCGATGGCGGGCGGCGGGAGGAGGTGTCCCCGCCCCCCCGCCCGTCATCGGAGCTTCGTTCTGATGGCGGGCGGCGGGAGAACGCATTCCCGCCCCCCCGCCCGGCATCGGAGCTTCGTTCTGATGGCGGGCGGCGGGAGAACGCATTCCCGCCCCCCCGCCCGGCATCGGAGCTTCGTTCCGATGGCGGGCGGCGGGAGGAGGTCCGAGGACAGTGGGGAAGACACGCTGCGCTTCCCCGCTGTCCCGGAGATTTCCCTATGGGCTTTCGTCTTGCGAAGCAAGCCCATAGGGAAAATCGTCTTGCGAAGCAACTCGCAAACGGAAAACCCTTTCGTCTAGCGGGTTTTCCGTCTTGCGAGGCGTTCGTCTTGCGGGGTACCACTGTACCTTTGATGCTCAAATGGCATCAAATTCACTTGGGCCTGTTCCGTAACAAAAATTATATGAACGCACAACACACACACACACACACTCTGTTTGGATCCACAGGTGATGAAAATAAACTTCTGTTCATGACCACCAGCATTCCATTGATTATCTATCATCCCATATCATTCCATCAGTCTTAAATTTTCAAGAGTGGATTGGGGGGTGAGTACAAGCAGGGAAGATGTGAGGAGGAGAGTGGGGAAACTTGGCTGATGACTGGAGGTCTGCTCACACTTCACTGGAATACACACACGCACACAGAGAGATTGTATTTCCAGCAGACTACCGGGGAGGTGAATTTATAAATGCAACGTTAAGAACATATGTCTTTTAGAAACTTATGGTGACCTTTTTACACACTCAAACTGCACATGATGTTAAACACATAAGTAGCAATCCCATTGTGTGCAATTTGAAATATCGGGGAAAGTCAGGGTGCGGTTCCCTCAAGATCACAGCATGTAACAAGGGCAGGTTTTAATTTTTCCCTCCCCAGGAGCAATCTCTATGACACTTGCCTCCCTGTGCAACAATTAATGTTAGCCAATGGAAGTCCCAACTCCCATGCAATCTACTGCATGAGTGCAGGGTGGGTTTGGGGGCAAATTTCACAGTTGCCTAACTGCCAAACCTTACAAAGTTGTGACGATTTACTACAAGGTAGGCGAAAAACCAGGTGGCTAGAGCCAATCCGCCAAGTGGAAAAAATTCCTACAAGGCCCCTTGGGCAACCAACCGAGGTCCATAGCAAGGTCAAGTGGTGAGGCAAAGCCTAAAAGGACGGGCCAAACCACGCCCACCAGCCCGCCAGATTGGCTGGCTGGAGTGTGTGACGCGGGCCCAGGACTCCAATGACGCAGGGGCCCCGGCCACACCCCTCCTGCGGACGTGGGAAGCGATTCCCACTCACAACACCTCCCCTCTGGGAAGAGGATAGGCTTTCCCATCATCCCTGACCACTGGTCCTGCTAGCTAGGGATCATGGGAGTTGTAGGCCAAAAACATCTGGAGGGCCAAGTTTGCCTATGCCTGGATTAAACCTTAAGTTTATCCCATGCACAGCAGCTTCTCTCATTTTAGTTTATCTTCAACAGAGTAGGAAACATGTGTGAAGCAGCGCTTAGGCACAGCACAAATAAATAACTGTAGCAATTACCAATGCATGTTGGCTGAATTCCACTCCAACTGCCATCTGCTTGGCATATTCTCCTTGAAGATCCTATTAGTATCAAAGGTGGTCTGCACTGAAAAGACACTTCAGATCTGTAGGTGAAACTTTTGCCACTGAGTCGCCCCTCGGCTGGTGTACCAGGCTCTCCACAAAAGACAGCTATTACAGAAAAAGGGAACATGTTCAATAAAAGGCTTTAAAATGATGTATAGCATATGCATAGTGAATTTTTTTTTGGTGGGCGGGTGTGTGTGTGTGAATACGAGTTAGCAGGCACCACACTGCTTATCCAATTTACATCGATTTTTGAATGCTAATTTATTGCTATCATCATTTGTTTGCAAGTATTGAATGCCCTGGTGTGCCATTAAACACCCCACAAAAGTGATATTAACTGAGATGCCTAATTTACAGATGAGGTACCTAGTATTGAGAGGACAGTATTGAGAAAGGGCTCCGGCTCCCTTGGCCTGAAAGCGAGATGAGCGCCACGACTCCATAGTCACATTTGACTGGACTTAACTGTCTAGGGGTCCTTTACCTAGTAAGGAGCACACAGAGCCTAAGAAGGGGCAGATTTGGTGGGGAACAGGAACAATGATAAGGGGCCAGTTGCATATAATGTATGCATATGGAATACAGGAAGCCATTCCTGTGGGAGGACATTTCATGGGGCATATTATGGAATATGAAACTACATATATACTCTGTCCATCTGGCTGTATTTTCCCCCAGCCCAGAACATTCAGTTTCTGGTCCTACATGACAGCATCTCATAGTTCTCCCAAACATGACTATTGCACCATGATTTTTATTTTATTTTATCAACAATTTAATCTTAGTAAACTTACGCAGGCACTGTGGGATCTCTCCCCTCCACTCTCCTCGCCCTTCACATGACAGGATAGCAGAATTGGAAAGGTGATACCCATCAGCACAACTGTAACTTAGACTTGATCCCCAGTGGAAATCGGAGCCTTCTACTTTTCCATACACCACCTGGGGTGGTGGTCCACATGTGATAGCTAATGAAAACAAAAAAGAAAAGATTTTTATCGGGGGTGGAATGTAAAAACTGAACAAGATATCTTTATAAGCCTTTGTCAACATGGTGCCACCCAGATATTTTGGACTACAACTCTTGTTTTATTCTACTTTTTTTCTGAGAACGGTTAAGCTGAGAATCTGTAACTTGAATTTTTGTCAGCTAATTAAAGCCCAAACCTTTGCAGATGGGTTTAGTCTGGTTCCAGGTGCCATCTTTCGTACAGCGTATGGTGGATGCACCAACAGGTTCCATTAGGTACCCTGGGTTGCATTGATAGGTGACCGTCTTATTAAAGGTGAAATCCCTTCCAAAATGGATGCCATTTGACAATTCACCTGGATCTCCACAACTGATCACTAGGGTTAGAACATAAAGAGGAAACATGTTTTATTTTAAAATAAAAAAACAAAAAAAACTATATCTTGCATAAGTGCACATGCAGAAACAGATATAACAACAGACATCACCTAGGGATCTGTATGCAAGTTTACGTTTATATTCAGGAAGCCCTTGGTGAACCTCAATGTGACTCCTAAACCAATAAAGTTTTAAAAATGCATTTTTCTGTGTATGTCTACGGCGAAGTGGAGGCATGTGTTCCTGAAGCACAAATATAATCAGGGGCTTCTAACAGTGCATAGAAGCGTAGAAGAAATGTTACTGGATTAGGAGATGTTCTGATCCTCAAAAACGAGTTGTGCTCACAAACTGAAGAAGCCCCCCGTTGCCCAAATCTATGTAAATATTGCACAAACACACCTGTACAAACTCTAAGTCACATTTCCTGCATTATTATACATTTTGGGAGTTCTACTGCATGTATTTTTCTGATTTACTCTGTAGGTAACACGTCCCCCATTACACAGGCATACACTGTAAATCCCAAATCTGGATTGTTTCCAGTACAGACTGAAATAACAGAAAGGATAATTTTATAAAACTGCTGTTACTCAGATTATAAAACTGCTGTTCCTCAGAAGCCATGTTGCTTAATGATAAAAGAGTAAACAGTGCCAACAAAGAAAAAATTTGATTGGTATGTAATTTAAGCATTCATAGATGTATACTGTATTGAGTCAAAAAGGTAATTCACTCAATTTACTTTCATGTATGTTGTTGCAAAAACGTTACAGGTAGGACCAAGAAATTTCTCTGCAGGGCAGCCATATAGGTGTGCTTGCAGAAAAATAAGCCTTACAGCACAATCATATTATGCATGTTTACCTGGGAGTATGTCCCAGAATGTCAGCGTAGTTTACTCACTGCAAATATAAGGGTGAGGTAACCTATGGTTGCGAAGTTAAACAAACTTGCTTGGAAGTAAGCTTCAATCTCAATGGGATTTTCTTTCGAACAAACATACTTAGGACCAGGCTCCATATGTGGAGATGAATAAGAGTATAATTTACTGTGCCCTCCTTTTTTGAAGAAAACACTTTTCTTCCTTCTACAAGGATAGCACATCTATTTTCAGTCTTTAAGCATATTGTTAACAGGGCGTCAGTTCCCAACCTGTGCAGTCTGGGGCAGAGCCAGTCCATGTCCCGTTGGCCGTACAGTGTCGTGTAGTTAGTCCTGAAGTCTTGTAACCTTCCCAGCAGGCATAAATGACTGAGCTAGAAAATGAAATTCCGTCATTGAAGACTATCTTGCCATTGGCTGGTGTCCCAGGATTGCCACAAGATACAGCTGTCAAAAGTGGGGAAGACAGGAAAAGCAAAATAAAGTAAATTTGATTTCTCCTTTAAACTGACGCAGGATAAACCCTGGGAAACCAAAGCTTTTCAGTTGTTTAGTTTGTGGTGAAGTTATCAAAATATGCATGCCCTATATTGGGCTTATCTTACCGTTCTACTTCATTATTGGCAGAAGGTAACAATATATCCCTTTTGCATGCATTAGTAAAAATGGGGCACGAAGAGAGAGGGGGAGAAATAATTGAAGGTGGGAGGTAGTCAAAGCACTGGGATGTTTGTTCATAGACATCTCCTCTTTTTAAAGATGTAGTCTTAAATATGCATTGAGAGAACTTGCACCAATTTGCCCCCAGAAATGGATGGGGTGATTCTACAAGGTGAAACCAGTGGTTAGTGTTCACATGCTAGGTTTTTGCACAACTGAATTCTCCATTAAAGGGGGAATTCACTTTCCTTGCAGTATTCCTTGAGATTATCTGTTTCAGTTAGACAGCAGCTTGCCTTTCACACAGTCTCACTCCTAATATAATTTGCTCATGAAGGTTACAGCTCCAGCCTATTGTATTGAAAACAGGCTCAAGTACGGTTCCCTGCAAATGGTTTTGCTGTGAGGGAAGGAAAGTGAAGATTCGTTCTGTTTCTTGCGATTACAGTTGCCTAAACCTGAGTCATGTCAGGTAAGACTGAGCCAAAAAGGGGCCCCAGCTAAGGTCCTTGAGTGGGATTTTTGATAAATCAGCTTTTCTGTTAAGAGCTTGAGGGTTCAGAAGATTAAATTAACTCAGTCTCCAGGTGGATATTAGACTGGAGGAACTACATTGGTAGCAACAGCAATAAAGATATCTGTGTTAGGGAAGAAACCCCTCTTTTGGTGCAAATTGCACATGTATGTGCATGCAGTCACAAATACAATTTGAGCCAATAGGTCACTATCAGTTTAGTCCCAGTTCAGGTATTTAACTATACTGGCATTTTTCACATCATTCTCCAATCAGATTTTTTAAATAATAATAAAAAAATACTTCCTAATATGAATGTAAAACGAAAGAGGGGAAAACCCAACCCACATTAGCTACAGTGTACAACCAGAGACTTTTCTATGTTCTCTTTCGAATTAGTTCATAGGATGCTCAAAATGCACTTTGTAGTAACTCATACAAAAACGCCCACAGAAACACTGGTATTTAAATGCACAACATCAATTCTATATATGAAAGAACGGTGAAACGTTCTGCTGGTGAAAAACAAGCTGTAAGCTGTGGGAAGATGGATTACTGGCTAGAAAGGAGAACAGGTGCTTATAATAAATTAAAATAGGAGAGGTTCATAATCACTTGTGTATGTGACCTGTGTGTGTACTGAGGTGGTTTTTTTTTTTTTTTTTTGGCAGGGAGAAGAAAGGTGAATGAAGGACAAAATGTGAATCCAGATCAAAACTTGCCTGTAGCTCTTATTCTTAACTTATGATACATGCAGGCCTTCTTGGATTCTGTTTCACTTTCCTGAGGCAAATGCCTTCCCCACATTGCCTGTGAGCTTAGGCAAGACAATAAACTTTTCATTAAACCACGGGTGAGTAATTGGCAGCCTGTAGCCACATCCAGCTTGGAACAATGTCTTTCAAGATATTGTGAGACTATTGGTTGTGTTTTCTTTTTCCTAGCCCTAATGGATGGTACTTAAGAGAATGTGGTAGACTTCTTTCCATCAGAAAGTTTACATCAGATTCACATTACAGCAAAGTTCTGGCGGCTAACAGATTGAGGTTGAATCCTGACAAGACAGAAGTACTGTTTTTGGGGACAGGGAGCGGGTTGGTGTGGGGGATTCCCTGGTCTTGAATGGGGTAACTGTGCCCCTAAAGGACCAGGTGCGCAGCCTGGGAGTCATTTTGGACTCACAGCTGTCCATGGAGGCGCAGGTTAACTCTGTGTCCAGGGCAGCTGTCTACCAGCTCCACCTGGTACGCAGGCTAAGACCCTATCTGCCCGCGAACTGTCTCGCCAGAGTGGTGCATGCTCTAGTTATCTCACGCTTGGACTACTGCAACGCGCTCTACGTGGGGCTACCTTTGAAGGTGACCCGGAAACTGCAATTAATCTAGAATGCGGCAGCTAGACTGGTGACTGGGAGTGGCCGCCGGGACCATATAACACCGGTTCTGAGAGACCTGCATTGGCTCCCAGTACGTTTCCGAGCACGATTCAAAGTGTTGGTGCTGACCTTTAAAGCCCTAAACGGCCTCGGTCCTGTATACCTGAAGGAGCGTCTCCACCCCCATCATTCAGCCCGGACACTGAGATCCAGCGCCGAGGGCCTTCTGGCGGTTCCCTCACTGCGAGAAGTGAGGCTACAGGGAACCAGACAGAGGGCCTTCTCGGTAGTGGCGCCCGCCCTGTGGAACGCCCTCCCATCAGATGTCAAAGAGATAAATAATTACCTGATATTCAGAAGACATCTTAAGGCAGCCCTGTTCAGGGAAGTTTTTAATATGTAACGCTGTACTGTTTTTAACACTGATTGGGAGCCGCCCAGAGTGGCTGGGGAAACTCAGCCAGATGGGCGGGGTATAAATAATAAATTATTATTATTATTATTATTATTATTATTATTATTATTATTATGATCAACTTAGAGATAAACAGTTTCAAATCCACAACAGTAGTGATGATTTAGCAGACCACCATACTTCCATTATTTTGTTTTACTTCCATACTTTTTAAAGACTGTTGCACATTTTGCTACAATATTGTTTATATAGTATTGCATTAAAGGTAAAAAAAAATGGTAAAGCACCCCTGAATGGTTAAGACCAGGCAAAGGCGACTATGGAGTATGGCACTCATCTCGCTTTCAGGCTGAGGGAGCCAGCTTTTGTCTGCAGACAGCTTTCCGGACCATGTGACCAGCATGACTAAACTGCTTCTGGTGCAATGAGACACTGTGACGAAACCAGAGCGCACGGAAATGCCGTTTACCTTCCCGCCACAGCGGTACCTATTTATCTACTTGCACTTTGATGTGCTTTCGAACTGCTAGGTTGGCAGGAGCAGGGACAGAGAAACAGGAGCTCACCCCATCACGGGGATTCGAACCGCCGACCTTCTGATCAGCAAGCCCCAAAGGCTCAGTCGTTTAGACCACAGCGCCACCCGCACATTGTATTAACAGGTGTGGGACTAATAAAAGAGAGTGGTAAACCTGATCAGTTCTATTAAGAACCAAGATTGAAATAAAGCAAGTAGTTAAATGTACTTTCAAGCACAAACAATAGCTCCAAGAACACCAAGTATCATATTTATGCAAATGTAGCTATACAGTTGCAATTACATGAGTTGAATCTGATACTGACCTTCACATACTGGCTGCAAGCCAGACCAAGATCCATTAAGGAGGCATGTTCTTTCTGGGGAACCTCTCAGCTGATAACCCATTTCGCAGGAAAAACGTAGCAGGCTTTTTATCTTGAACTCATCCCCAAGTCTGGACCCATGGGATGGCACTCCAGGATCATCACAATATCCCGGGTTGTTTCCTGTAAATGCAAAGTATCAAAAGGGTCATTATCAGGAGGCGACAGCACAGTTTAGTGTCAATCGGCTAACGACCAGCCAGGCATCAGCTCCACTTCAAATTCTGTGTGTCTTTGAGGTGTGCCCCAAAGGCACGTTACAAAACACAAGACGTCAAACAAATATTCTTGCCCAAGAGCCACAATAGACCGGGTCAGCCTACCAAATACAGGTTTGATCAACAGAGACTTAACAATAATTTAAGTTAATATAGGTCTATGTCACAGTGAATATAATCAGAGAAGAGCTGAAAATTCCATGTCAGAACTCTTCTGCAAAAGATGCTGGGTTAGAAAGAAGGTGTGCCTGCCCAGAACCTTTTTCCTGTGTAGGAAAAGTGCATGTAGAATGTGTTTTTGCTTTTGTTTAAAAGCCAGACTAATTATATGCACAAATAGATATATTATACCTATAATACCTAGACAAGAGTCAAGTCCCATTTGGTACTATATTTCTACAGTATCATTTTATAAATATTTGTATGCAGTTATATGCACTGTTGTGTTGATTACATTAGGAAACCTGGAGTGTATATACCAGTAAATATAATAATGCATATATGAGAATTGCTTAAAAAAACAAAACCTAGCAGAGCCGGTAAACATACAATCCACTCATTGCTGAGATCATCTTCTCTCCTCATTCTAATGGCTTCATGAAGACCCCAAATGAACTGAAGAAAAATCATATCCAACAGCAGCATGAAGGATACAAACATTAGTGATATGTCTGTACAGTGGTACCTGCGTTACGTACTTAATGCGTTTCGGAGGTCTGCTCATAACAGGAAACCGCTCGTAACATGAGGCATGGTTTCTCTAACGGTGCCTCCCGCACTGTGACTTCCGCTCGCACCCCGGGGTAAAGGTTGTAACGAGGGGCAGAGCACGTAACCCGCAGCATTCGTAAGGGGGATGGTACGTCACACGAGGTACCACTGTATACAAAAAGTGTACTTCACTTGATCTTCCAAAATCAGGGAGTATCTTTAGTATCTAAAGGCACTCCTAGTTATTGGCTACTGAGCCATATAAAGGTAAAGGTACCCCTGGCCGTTAGGTCCAGTCGCAGACGACTCTGTGGTTGTGCGCTCATCTCGCTCTATAGGCTGAGGGAGCCGGCATTTGTCCGCAGACAGCTTCCAGGTCATGTGGCTAGCATGACTAAGCCACTTCTGGTGAACCAGAGCAGCGCATGGAAACACCATTTACCTTACCGTCGGAGCGGTACCTATTATCTACTTGCACTTGACGTGCTTTCAAACTGCTAGGTGGGAAGGAGCTGGGACTGAACAACGGGAGCTCACCCCATTGCGGGGATTCGAACTGCTGACCTTCCGATCGGCAAGCCTTAGGCTCTGTGGTTTAGACCACAGAGCCACCCGCGTCCCTACTGAGCCATATAACACACTCTAAATGGA